ACTTCAGCTTTGGTGGTTTCGGAGAGTGTGAGAACTTTGAGCCTACGGCCTGTATGGCACCGCTTGAGACTTTCTCCTTGAATGGTCGCACGGAAGAGAACCAACGACTTTTCAGTGTTGGGGATCTTGATCTTCAGAATTTGAATACGACTTTCAAGGATGTTGCTTTGGAGGAGCATTTGATTGCTTCGACTTTGGAGGACACCGAGCCGTGGATCCTCTTTGATTCAGGTGCTGCAACTCACTGTTGCCCGAAGGACTTTGCCTCAGAGTGGCCACTTCTGCCACTTACAGGTAAGGCTCCACCTTTGAGGAGCATTTCAGGTCAGCCTTTGACGGTCTTTGGAAGGAGACTTGTGAAGGTTGACTTTGAGGGCCAGCCCTGTTTCTTACACTTCTACGTTTGCGACGTTCCCTACTGTGTGGTGTCCGTTGGCAGACTTTTGAGGTCAGGCTTTGACGTGAACCTTTCTTCTAAGAAGGCGAACACTTTGGAAACACCGGATGGACACAAGGTGCCCATCACTAGGCATGGTTCACTTCTTTTCTTGAGGCCCACTTTGGCACCTTTCAACCGGGAAGAGTTTGAGGTTGTGTGTAACACTTTTCACACACAGAGCGCCCAAGGTACCATAGTGGCCCCAGTTTTTAAGCCTGTCGTCCAGTATCACATTGATAAATGGGAGCTCTCGGGTAATACTTTGACCCGCATACACAAAAGAGCGAGAGCTACTTTCTTTTCTCCCGAAGGGACGAAAGATCGCCCTGTAGAACTGAAGGACCTTTCAGACGAACGCGTAACCTACTTTGAGTACGCAGATGGCAGAAAAGAGACTTTCACCGACAACTGGCGTAAGGTAGCTAACCCAAAGGGCCCAGCTTCTGAACGTTTTGTTGGCAAGACTGTTTTTAAACTTTCCTCCAAGCCCACTGGCCGCAAGCTGGTTGGAAAACAGACAACTTTACCTGAACCCACACCTGCACGCAAACCACAACCACTTGAACAGCAGCAGGAACCTTTAGCAGAGGCCCCACAACCACTTTTCAAGCAACCCACTAAAGGCCTCAAGGAGCAAAGCACCGAGGACACTTTCCGTCTGCGCCTTGAGCAGACCTCTTCAGGAACGCTGGAAGACTTTCGAAAGGCTTTGCTTGAACAACTTTTGGAGAAGGACCCGGCAACAGGCCAGCTGTACACGCACGACTTGTGGCTTGACTTTCCGTCTTGCTGGGTGCGTGTCCACTACGAACAGCGGACCACACTTTTTGTGCCTGAGGATCCGCACTTTGAAGAGCAGCTTGGCGACGGTCGCATGACTTTGGTTGTGAGGCCAGACACGGAGGCAGTGCCCTTTTGGCACGCTGACAATTGGCGCAAGCGCGGCGCCACTTTGATCAGCTCTCCTTTTGTCGGAGCCACTTGCTTTGAGAAGGCAGACTTGCAACTTGTTGAGTGCGAGCCGGAAGCTCCGGACTACGTTGCGCATCGCCCTCGCGGACTTAAACAGCCGGGCGAGCCAACTTTGACGGAGCGGCTTGAACACGAGTTGACGCACTTGCCTTTTAAGCCCTGGTGTGAAATTTGTGTGCGTTCCAAGAGCAAGCAGGCTAAGAGTCGCAGACTTTCCCTGAAGCAGCCTGTGCTGCAGATGGACTTTAGCTTTCTTGGCGACAAGCCTGGTGAGGAACAGATCCCGATTTTGAATGTTGTCGATGTTCTTTCGGGCATGGCACTTTCTGTTGTGATCCCCACCAAGGCCCGCACACCTTATTCACAGGCTGAACTTCGTCGCTTTGTGCTTGAAACGGGCAGAACTTTCGGTGTGTTGCAAGCGGACCCCGAACCCGCCCTCCTCGCTATTGCAACTTCTGTCACTGGTGAGGTTGGTGAACTTTCCTTTCGGAAGACGCCCGTCGGTTGGAAGCAAGCGCAAGGCAGCGTGGGTAACATGCAAGCCACTTTGTACGGACAGATCAAGGCTTTGCGCCTTGAGATCCTTGAGCGCTACGACGTTGACCTTTCGGTGCACTCAGCTTTGTTTACTTGGCTGGTTCGTCACGCGCAGTGGCTTGTGAACCGTTACCTTTGCAACGCGGAAGGAACGACGGCTTTTGAGCGGCGCTGGCGTAAGAAATATGCTGGCTTTATCTGTCGCTTTGGAGAGACAGTACTTTTCCGCAAGCCGCATCCGCAGAAGGGTCGTGCAGCTTTTGTGCCTGGTGTTTGGCTTGGCAAGGACACTGAGTCTGATCAGCACTTTGTTGCTGACGCCACTGGAGTCTTCAAGACCCGCAGTGTCAAGCACCACCCGCCCTCCCGGCAAGCCGACCTTGCACTTTTGCAGTCGATCTCTGCGCGCCCTTGGGACCCCACCGGTTCGAAGGCTGAGACGGACACTTTTGTCTTTCCTCAAGCCAAGCGGTCCGAGGAGGCGACAGCAGCAGACCTTCGAACTTTGAGCAGCACGAGTCGACTGAGCCACTTGCACCAGAAGCTTTGCAAGAAGTTGAAGACTTGCTTGGTGACGACTTTAGCGGTGTTGAGCCAGAGGCGGTGCCGCCAAGAGAAGACTTGTCGGACTTGGAGTCTTTGGCTACGCCTCCTGACCGTGACACTTTTGAGCCGCCACACGTCACTTTGGACCAGCAGACACAGGGCCAACCACGGTCCTCAACAGAAGCAGCTTTACCGCAACCTGCGGCTACAAGGCCTCGACTTGAGGAGGCGTCTGCTTCTTCTCCGACAAAGCGTACGTCGGAGACTTTGCCTGTTGGGACAAGCAAGGTGCAGAGAATGGCCAGCGTAACTTTTGCGAAGACCAAGAAGCGCTTTCGCGTGTGTGACTTTCGTGTCTCTGCTGTGACAACGAAGCAGGACCTTGAAGTACCGGTGTCGGTGAATCAAGATGAGAAAGAACTTTTGTTGATGAAGACACTTGAGAATCCGCACATTTGGTACCAGACCGAGTTCACACGTGAAGAGGAAGCTGCAGGCATGACAAAAGAGATGAAGTCGATGCGTGACTTTGACGTTTTCGACGAAGTCTCAGTTGAGTCGGTCTCTGAGGAGACTTTGCGGTCTGCAATTTCCACGAAGTGGGTTAAAGTGCGCAAGCCTGACGGGACTGTGCGCTGCAGGATTGTGGGGAGAGGTTACACTCAACTTGTGGAAGACAAGGATGAGACTTTCGCCTCAACCCCGTCCTTAACCACACTTCGGCTGTTGTTGACTTTGGCTGTTGCGAAGGGATGGCACATCTCGATCGGAGACATTTCGACGGCATTTCTTCATGCCCTGGTCGACGGTGACTTTTATGTCATTCCTCCTCTGGAATTCTATCCAGAGGGCCGCACTTTGTGGAAGCTTAAGAAAGCCCTTTACGGGCTTAAGCACAGCCCTAAGCTTTGGCAGCAGCACTTTGCCTCTGTCATGGAGAAGAACGGCTTTCGACGCATGAAGTCGGACCCGAACCTTTATGTTCATGACAGCAAGCAACTTTACGTTCTGGCGTATGTGGATGACTTGATGTTTTTCGGTTCGCGGGCTGATGTTTCGACTTTGATCCGGGATCTTCAGAAGGACTTGTTGCTTAAGGTGACAGGTACTTTGGATGAAGGTCAGAGTTCGTCGTTTCTAGGCCGCAACCTGAAGCGCACCTCCACTTTCATCTCTGTAGGAATGAGCCCATCCTACATTGATACGATGCTAGAGCTTTACGGTTTGAAACAGTGCCGGCAGGCACTTGCGCCAGGAACGGATGCTTTGAGGAAGCAGCTCGACTGTGAACCTTTGGACCCTGAGGATCACAAGCGCTACCGGCGCGCTGTGGGCCAACTTTTGTGGCTTTCCAGCGTGCGCCCTGACATCATGTATGCTGTCAAGGAGTTGAGCCGAGGACTTTCTGCACCAACCACAGAACACGAAGCAAAGGTGAAGCATCTTTTGAAGTACCTGGCAGGGACAAAGCACTTTGAGCAGAAACTGCAACCAACCCTCTCACTTTCACCGCAGCACAAAGCAATAGATATCAACATTTTTGTTGACAGCGATTGGGCAGGATGCCACGACACCCGACGCTCCACTTCAGGAGTTTCCCTCTTTGTGCTCGGGGCGAATATACTTTCGCACAGCAGGACCCAGGCCACCGTAGCCCTCTCGAGCGGAGAGGCAGAACTTTATGCTATAGGCTCTGGTACTGCAGATGCGCTTTTCGTGAGGTCTTTGGTGGAAGAGAGCAAGATCTTTCAGAAGGCTAACCTTTGTGTTTTCACAGACAGTAACGTTGGCAAAAGCATTGCCTCACGTTCCGGCGCAAGCCGTAAAACGAAGCATGTAGAGTTACGATATCTTTACGTGCAAGAGCTCGTTACTTCTGGTATGGTTAGGATCAAGAAAGTTCTTGGGACTTTGAACCCAGCAGATATCCTTACGAAGTACATCGCGAAGGATACTTTGCACCGCCATCTTCCTACTTTCGGGTTTGAGGTTTAGCCACCCCGTCTCGGGTTGGACTTTGCCACTCATCATCTTTCCCAGAAGAACCCAGATGAGAGAGAAGAAGACTTTGAGAGCTGAGAGAATCACGTTCTTGCGGACATGTACTTTTCATGCTTGTGCGGACATGTACTTTTGCGGACATGTACTTTTGCTTGCTTGTGCAGTCTCGACATGTCTTCGACTTTCGCTCGTCGCTGGAATTTTTCATTTTCTGGAACCAACTTTGAAGATGACCTTTCTGTTTTCCGTTTTCTCCGTTCCGAAAAGGAAGAAACTTTTAACCGTGAAACCGTGATGGTGGATGACTTTTCGATGGTGATTCTCCGGTGCGAACGCACCACTTTTTAATGTACATATGTAAGCCCACTCGACTTTCCCTTTCAGGGTGTTCGGGTTTTGTCTTGGGTTTTGGTTTTAACTTTGCGACTCTCGTCGCTACTTTCGCTCTGCGTTGCCCGTTTCACTCCGACTTTGCCTATCAGATGGAACCGGACATGCGCAGATGGAGCGCCGAGACTTTGTTGTCTTGGTCGACTTTTGCGTGCGCTTGGTGCACGACTTTGATCTGCCAAGTGCCTCTGCAACACGATTGCAGCGACTTTGGGGACACTGTCGGCTGTATCCCCTGAGCCAAGAGACTTTGTCTTGGCGTCTTCAGGACGAGCTGGAGACTTTGTCTTTTATCAAGCGACTTTTGTCTGATATTACTTTGGCTAAGGCCAGTGACTTTGTGGATTACAGGTCCCTGCCGATCCTGACTTTGGCGGAGACTTTGGTTCTCCTTGATCTACAAAGGTCGCGGGAGCGACTTTATTATCTGTCACTTTGGGTGACACTCTTGCGCAAAGCGAGACTTTGAAATGGCGCCAAAGAAGCTGGATGAGTACTGGGCGCCACACTTTAGGCCCGAAAATGAAGGCACTTTGCCTCAGGATGATCAAGGCATTTTGCCGCCAGCGAACTTTTCTATGTATTGTATCACTTTTTACCCAAGTGATTTCATACAGATGATTGCGAATGGCAGGCAGCTGGAACAACTTTGGCACACAGGTACACCTTACCCTGGTGGACCGAATGCCGAGATGGTTCTGCAGACTTTGTACCCTGGGCGACAGCATCCTGGACTTTACACGCCGCCAGAGCAGGTGCTCCTTGCAGCCACGACTTTTCAGTGGGTGTTTCAGACCATGTTGATGGGTGTCCCGGCCACACTTTCACCACAGGTCTTTTGCAACTTTATGCTATGGACAACTTTTCCGGTGGCTATGATGAATATGAAAATGCAGACCCTACTTTCGGGCGGATCCTTACACTTTTCTGGTGCCGACAGCTTTTGGTCGGAGGGCCATTGGAACTGGTCCTGGAGCCCCAGGAGTGCACTTTTACTTTTCAGTTTCGGCCTCAGCATACAGCTTCGATCTGGTATTCGACATCCCAATGTCGGTGCACTTTGCACCGTTGGCTTCCGGCCAACTTTGAGGTATTTCCAATACCTGACGAATGCTTTTCAAGTATGGAACCGCCGTTATCTGGACTACTTTCTAGCAGTTCCAAGAGATTCGCAACTTTTGCTCAACTTTGCAAATGATGATCAGCGCTGCATGCTGCAGTCAACGGTGATACTTTGTCACCCGGGTAGAGATGGTTACTTTCTGTGTGACCAGCTGAACAATATGTTCAACAGAGAGGATTCTCCTTGGTGGAGACTTTACCATCTACCTATCCAACGCCGACTTTGGAATGCAGCTACCCAAAGCCAGACTTGGGACCAGGTCCCACGGGAGATGTGGCAAGTGGCTGCCCGTCCTCGACTTTGACTTTCTGGCTTCCATTGGCTACTTTTCGCCCTCTGCAAAGGGTTGAGCCATATGCATGGATCACTTTTGGCCCATTTTGGGCTGGATCCACTTTGATGCTTGGCATGGTGCCAACTGGTCGCTGCACTTTAATGGGCCGACCGCCACGCTGCACTTTGATGTGCCGTGCGCACACGTTACTTTGAACCACGACTTTCTTTTGGAAAGCAACTTTTGGGAGGTTGTAGATAGGAGACCTTCGTTGCCACTTTTCTCCAGCTGCCGCGCAAAACTTTTCGGTGCGCTCACATATGTACATGTACACATTTACGTGTTATTGTACTTTGCGAGAATAAAGTAAGGACTTTACTCTCGAGGAGGCGTGTGAAAATAACACGTCCCCTTTCTCCCAGAGACTTTGCCAACAGCTTTGCCAACCTCGCTGTTGGCTCAAGACACACTTTGCTGTGTGGAGAGAAAGGCGCTGCTGAACTTCAGGGTACTTTGCGCTTCAGTCGAGTGAGCTTGCGTAACATCGACTTTAGGGTAGTTTGGTGCGCATTCTGGACTAGTGTACTTTCGCAGATTTGGTGGATGCACTACAGCGAAACCAGGGAGACTTAGCGGTGGTACCGCAATTTCGGAAGCTAACGTTTTGAATGTTGCAAGGTCGCGTATGTTCCAGTCCAGAATCCAGTGGGTCGGAAAGACATAGCCTACAAAGCGAATCGTCAAGCCGGTACTTCCCGCGGCGCAGATGCCAAAGAACTACCTGAGCCAAGCTGTTTCTGCCCTCAAAACCTCATGCGGTGACAGAAACCTGGGCTCATCGGACGTCTTCGCAGCCCCACGCTTCCAGGAACTCATGGTTGTTGAAGAACATGACATACGGGTCCACTAGTTGCTCGGTTCATCACTTAGCTGCATGAGTCTAACAATTGCAAGGTTTCTAACTTGTGTATGCCTATAAAAACACGGGGCAAAGAATCCGAGTGACACGTCGTGGACGTGGCCGGCCCACGAAGTTAAACCATCACTGCTCTTTGTTTGCAACACCAACCGACGGGATGGGGAGTGGGACACGGATACAACCGAAACATCATGCTTCAATGTTTCAACAGAAGAAACCAATAGAAGACATGAACTCCGTGCCGTGGATGCCATGTTACGGCCTTCATAACTCGTGCATATTCCAACACTCCTCATACGTTTGCAGAACGCTCCCACATTTGTCAGCGCTAGTGTACTTGTCCCATGCTTCATAATTTTGCATATGTTGACGGTACGGCTGAGCCATGCAATACGTTTCTCTTCCAAACGAGGCAGGGCCCGAAGGTAGACACCATTTCGGCCACGTTCAGGCAAAATCATTTAGACAGTAGCCCTCCTCTGGCTTAAAATCCTTTCAAGGGAGAGGCTGCGCAGTGTTCTTTGCAGAGCCCTAGGCTCCTGGAAAGTTCTTTTGTTGCTCAGACTGCCTTGGACAGCTGTTCTAGACAACGGTGCAGAAACGGCCAGTGTCCCTTCCACAGGTTTGTTGCCTGTGCGCTGCCAGGGACATCAGAGATTACGAGAGCACCCAACTAACTGCCAACATTGGGGTTCGCGAAGCAGAGACAGATCGAACTGATATTCGCACAAGCTCTGCACCTTGGATGCTGCCAGCAGCCCTGCCCGCCGTCAGAATTGCCACAACTTTCGTGACAGGTCAAGCGACATGATGCAGAACCCATCGTTGTTGGTCGTGCCAGCAGCCTCACACGCAGGTCAACATACTCTTGTGTCTGTCTGTTGTCTCGTTGTCTGGATATGTGCATACATGTAAAAATAGCAGGTTAGCATCTTGTTATGGCTGTGCATTGCTTCGTTGTCTCGATATGTGTGCGTATACATGCATGTTGACATGAGCGTATACATACATTTTATCATGTGTGCATGCATAGGTTCATCGTAGCACATTCAGAGCGGTTGCAGAAGATCGATGTCCATGCGTGGCGGCATATGCGTTTCAGCAGATTTGTCACACGTGTGTAGGTATGGGATAGACAGGTGGATCTAGTAAGCGAAAGCATACCAGCCAAAGTTGAAGTCAAATCCTAGGCCGTGGGACGCCCTGAGCAGTTTATCACCTGCATTGGACTTAGAGGGCAAGTGTGCAGGTCATGTGTGAACAGTTACAGTGTTGGAGTGCGACGAATGCCACGCACTTAGGATCGTGACTTTTCCATGGCTTCATCTGCACCAGAACTACTGGGCAGTGATCTCGTTTGCACATGCTAGCACAACATAGGCATCTGGCGAGTCCGAGCCCTCTACGTCTCAGCACTGGAGGTCTCTCGATGATGCAGCAGCTGCGAATAACGCCAAGCCAGGTCCAGCTGACAAGTCGCTCGGAGTTGACTTGACGTCACCGACGGCCGGACGAGAGGTGCAGGAGCTCCTTGCAGAGAATGGCCGTCGCCTTCTGCGAGGGTCCTAGAGTCTTAGAGGCGACCAAAGCCTTGGGCTTCGCTTCACATCGTCGGCGCGGTGTGTCGGAGCCATGCCAAGGCGCGCTTTTGCAGATGTCGAGCACAACGTGGCCCATCTATCCAGATGGTGGAGGGCTTATCCTCACCTCAGGTTCAACCCTGCTTGGAAATGCACGATACGAGGCTGGGGTCGCTGACGCATTATGGAGGAGCAATTGCTCGAGACTCGAGAGCTTCTGAGAGCTTTGGATGATCTTGGCCTGAATGGATCAAGGCCGAGTTACTGCTCCTGCGGCCTGTCGGATCCTTTGTGGAAGGCTGTCGCTGGTTCCGGTGAATTGGCAATTGGAGTGCTGAGGAGCACACTCCCTTCACGCTTACTGTTCTGGGACGGGGCCTGTGTTGGTGCCGGCTGTGTACTGGTGTGCAACTTCGACACTACTGGGAAGTTCTAAGCAAGGCCATGGCCTGCAGTCTCAGAGTGATGCTGGCGAAGCTGCATGTGTCATTCTGGCTGGCGTCGCTGCCCCGGACTAGAAGATCGCTGATGCCAGGGGGTTTCACCATCGCCATGATTTGTAGGTTTGCGCGGCGCTTGCTGGGACCCACCTGCGCAAAGTCTGTGCAGACTGGCTCATCAACTCGTTTAGGCCTCAGTCAGAGTGCTTGGACTACCTACGCACGACCCGTACGGCATCCGAAGGTCTGGGCTCGCAGATGTGGCTGCTCTGCCCGAAGCTTAAAATGCCACTTTGCAAACCATGCAGTTGATGTCGGCAAAGCAGAGCAGCCAAAGCAGCCGCTGCCTTCACCCCCGAAGCGCAGACGTTGTGCAGGATGTCCCAACGTTCCAGTGCACACGGACCTGCAGTATCTGTGCAGCTTCGGCATCTTTTCCCAGGGACTGCACCGCTTCAGAGCCCCCGGCGAAAGCGCCAAGCGCCAAGCGCCAGGATGGTGAGCTGCTACGGCGACTCGCTCCTTCAGCTGACATCGCAGTACCTGAAGCAAACGGTCTCTGCCTCTGAGCCTCTGCTTCTGCCTCTCGCTGACGCAACTTGCACATCATTGCGTGAGGTGCGCGGCGAGCAGGACCCACCAGTGGGCCAGTGGGAAGTCGCCATGATGGTGCACTGCCGATCGGCTGGCCTGCATATAGAGCTCTTCTCAGCTTGTCACGAAAGCTCCCCGTGCGGGAGCTTCGCTCATTACCTCACGAAGTGAGCTTGGGGTTATCAGCGGGGGGGTCTGGGTGGGGGCGTGTGGGTGGGTGCATTTTGGTGGGTTTTTTCGGCTATCCCCCACCTGGAGCTGGGAAAAACCTCGTTGCCAAAGGGCCTGTTTTGGGCTAGATTTCGGTCGTTTTGGGTAAGTGAATTTTAGACGCCCAGGGGAAAACAGGCCTCCTCTGATGCTGCTGATGCTGGCCTGGGCGTGTCGGCTGATGCTGCCCGTGTGCTGCTCATACTGGTCGTATCGGCCACGTTGTGCATGCGTGGCTGACATACTTGCTCTAGGCGTGCTGCAACATCACATGTCTCAACGTGACTGTCTGTCTTTTCTGGCAAGGAGTTAATCTGTTGGATCAAAACTGCTCTTCTTGACCTGTTGGATGAAAACTGCTCCCGCCTGTTGTTCTCTGCATCTTTTCTCTGCTGCGATGCGGGCTTGCTCCTGCAGCTTCATGACCGCAAGTGTGTGGGCGCGTCTTGTTCTAGGCGTGCTGCAACATGTCTGTCTGTCTATGTTTGGCAAAGAGTTGGTACGTTGGGCCAAAACCTGCTTCACATGTCGCAACATGACTGTCTGTCTTTGTCTCGCAAGGAGTTAATCTCTTGGATCAAAACTGCTCTTGTTGACATGTTCCCGGGTACAAGCGTTCTAGACGCGCTGCAACATGTCTGTCTGTCTTTGCCAAGAGTTGGAATGTTGGGTCAAGACCTTCTTCACATGTCGCAACATGACAGTCTGTCTTTGTCTGGCAAGGAGTTAATCTCTTGGATCAAAACTGCTCTTGTTGTCATGTTGGAGCAAAACTGCTCCCGCCAGTGTTGTTCTCCGCATCGTTTGTCTCCTGCGATGTGGGCTTGCTCCTGCGGCTTCATTACCGCAAGTGTGTGGGCACGTGTGAGTCTGGCTCTCGGGGAGAAGGTGGATCACAACCGCTCCTGCCGCGAGCTTCGACGGCGCCCGCAGCCGAAATTCGCTTCTGTGTCTCTTCGTGTGAGCTCCGTGTCGCCAGCCCTGCCCATGCTGGAGCTTTCGTCCCAGCCCGTGGCTCTCAAGTACCATAAATGAGGTGAAGGTAGTGATGCAAGGTTGTCCACGCCTTCGAAGCAATCGCTGGTAACGGACGAGGAAGCAAGATTGATTGCAGGTGCTAAAGGTGTCTGACAAAGGAGGCGGGTGGTGCTAGTTTTGTGCACTGGTCCTGACTCGCCCCGGCAAGGCCCATCGATTTCGTGCCCTGTGAACTATGTGCTATGTGAACCGTCCGAAACCACAGTAACAACTAACTTTAAGGAGAGACGGTCGATCTCGACTGCGGCGATGCCAACGATGAACAAACACATCGCAAGATTTGAGTTTCTTGAAATCCTACGCACGGCAGGATAAATATCAGTGTTTCTGCAGCTCAGTATTTAATTTGCCCTCGAAACGCGAAGTGCAGGAATACTTGGCCGTTGCGCATCATATTTTACGGGCAATGCTCAGCCAGAAGGACTTGGCAGAGGCCGGGATGCTGCTTTCCATTCAATTCGCGGCAGTGAATTGTGCAGCGGGATGATCGGAATAGATATCTTTAGCAGCACTCAAGATTCAGGGACCGTGTGTTTGATCGTGGAATGTGCGTGTCATGTTCGGCTCTCAGTCGCGGTGATGTCAGTTTCCTACCTGCAGTTGAGGCTTGCCATGAGCAAGGAGTGCCGTCGCACTTCCTGGCAAGAAGCCTGCAACGACTCGGTGATGAAAGGACTGGGCCTCTGGGTACCACTGCTCCACGGCCAGACAGTAGAGCGGTCCCGGCAGTCTGGGAAGAGATGTTTCGAGCGGCATCGTGTGAGGGCACAGGTTACAGTAGTGCTTTTGTGCCTGGGAACGGGCCCTCGGGGTTACCGTCCGGACTGCTGCTTGCAACTGGAACCGTCAGACTGACGAGGAGTACCGCGGGAACCTTGCAAGCAGCTGCTCTCCTGGCGACAGATCTGTGGCTTGCAGGCTGATAAGGGGCGAGTTGCTGTGACAAGTTTCTTGTTTGCACAATCATGAACATGAGTGAAAGCAAAAGAGGATGGTTGCTGCAGGTGTGAGCACCTCCTCGCCGCAAGAAGGCCCGAATGCACAGAAGCCGGTGTGCCACATCATTTGCGCACAGATTGCCTCTCTTTGCCCAGGCCTGGGGGACCTGCTCAGCGCATTGAAGATAGCGACGCAGAGCAGGCGGCAAACCTGAGCTGGGTCGAAGGCCTGCTTAGCTCGTGCTGCAAGGCAAGGACGATGCCCACACATGGTGCTGCCGCCTCTGTTGCCGTCAGCCTGAATCAGTGAATTTGTCCGGGATCGTGCGTTCGTGGCAGGTTGCGTTCTCATGCCTGGCCAGACTGCTGCCTCATTCTCAGACTGTGACTTCTTTCCAAACCCCGGTAGATGCATCTTGTACCCGTAATGCCTTTTTCCTCCAACCCCTGCCTTTCAGAGCCACCATAGCTTCCAACTCGCCGCGAGAGCACCGTGCTTTCTTTGATCACGCTTCAAGGATGTCACAAGCCAAGCTAATTAATGTACAGGATTGTCTTCTCTGTGTCGGCACCGACAGTCTTGTGCACGGAGAAGTCTGTTTTGAAGAAGGTGGACATTGAGTTATTGGACTTAAGCCACCCAAATCGTACCCAAGGAACATTCAAGATACAGTCATCGCACAGCCAAGACACAACGAAGGACAACCAATTTCAGACAGTAAGCCTCTGCACAAGCACGTATGCGGTGGATCCCCATCCCATTCTCGACAGTTTCTTCCAAATTAGCATTCGAGCGCAAACGAAGAGGCTGCTCTTCAGTTAGCTGAGCTTGAACCTATGGTAAATGATGTGGTCCCGGGCACAGTACGTAGACTCGTCGTGCCGTACTGACTCCATGTTTGCCAACTGACTGATGCGAACCGAGGCTTGCAAGGCTTCACGTGTGTAAGCTACAGGATCTTCAGCTTAAGAGGCCCCACACAGCAAGACCTCAGCAACTACAACCACAACAATCGCCAGCAATCGCAACACCACGCCCCCCGACTCACGGCCTGACAAAGGGCGGGATAGGGCGATCCACCCGTTTGCGACGGAGGCCCAAAACAGAAAACGACTCGAAAGCCTAGCCTGCGGGGCCACAAGGAACCAGTCGGCAGACTTTACAAGCAGGAGGTCACAAGCTTCAGTACTGACTACTGAAAAGGCACTCCGTTTGTCCTCATCATGGTTGGCCCAGGATGCTCTGATACGAACGGATGCGCTGCTCCGGTGCTCTGGGGCGAAATGTCCTGAGCATGTGTTTTCGGCCCAGGGCGGAAGTGCGCCCCAGAGAAGGCTCCTACTTTCGGACATGTCAAACGTATGAAGCAGTGCAGAAAACACAAAAAACAAGTCCTGGGCACGATGCAAAACATGAGACTGCTGCATTCGTCAGGGAAACATGACCAGACCTCAAGCCCAGAGCCAAGTTGCTGAGTCAATTCCCGATTCGATTAGCCAAAGAGACCAGACAAAGCAACGAACGATTCAGTTCGCCCAGACTGGATCACGCGCTGTCAGAACTCCCACCACCCTTCTTGACAAGTGGGAATATGAACGTGCTGGACGAGAGCAGTGCTCGTTGAAATGCAGGTCCAACGTGCTTCTCGTTTGCAAAACACAGGGGTCGACTTTTCCACATGCGCAGACACGATCGGCCACCATCTCGGGAGCCGGCTCATTTTTCACTCAACCAGATTTGTCTTGGCAGCCCTGGCGATGCCGCCCCCTGAACCTATGTAATCCTGCTGATTTACCCTTTGTGAATGGGTTCTAGGTTTAGCATGGTTTAGCCTTGTGCCGTTGTACCACAGTACCACAGCGCAAAAGTGGTTTCTGCTTGTGACTTTGTGATGCACTCCACTCCCCAGCAGTGGTGCGTGCACAGAACACGGGAGCTCATTCTTTTCAGGTCGCGGCTGTGCGACAACCAAGATGTCGAAGGGACTCCAGCAGTGTGCCTTCGTCGATGGTCGAATATCTTGTCATGGTCCGACTCGTTCCTGCACAGTTGTCGTGGCCTTCGAGCATGAATGCAATGCGCCAGGTACCGGACCTTCGTCTATGCATTGGTCTGGGCTGACAGCTGGCCTTCTGCCTTTAGCTGCCAGTGAAAGGTCCGTTCCAACTAAGGTTGAATGCGAAAGCCACTCGTCGCGAGAATTCGGCACCCGCTGTTTGCTGAATCTGCTTGAGAAGTACGAAGGGGCTGGAAACCCAGCTTCACAAGGTGTTGGTGTCCCTGAAAGTGCTGCCTCACGTCCAGGTTCCCGTCGGGATACTGGCTGAACTCAGTGTCAAGAAGTTTCAGGCAAAGAGACTGTTAACACTGTTATGCACAGCTGGTAAATTCCGACCTGGTTGGAAGGTCAGCGCTGCAGAACCCCTCACGGTCATTGACATCGAGCTTTTCCTGGTCATTCCCGCAAGAGAATAACTTGTCTTCGGGCTCCTCTGCGAGACGAGCTGATCCGAGCGAATATGATTTTGAGGTCATCGCGAAGCACCCACGCTGCACCGATCGCCATGCAGAGCTGTGCGGCTTCTCAGCCTACAGATCCGTAGACTGAAAAGGGGTCCGAGAAAACCTGAGGTTGGCGCAAGTGCTTGTCCGAACTCCCGGCTCACGTTTCCGACATGCTCCGACGCGCCTCCGGAAGTCGTGATGCTCTGGTGCCAGGCTGTGCTTTGGAGAACCCCGACGTTGGACGCGCTGCAAGTCCGACCCCCTCACTGGGGACCAGAAGACGGTTCTTTGATAGAACAATAAAAACAGCTAGAAGCGGCCCGAACGGGGATTCTCTAGACTCCGAAAAAGACTTTGATAACAGCTTATGGGGGGATTGCTTACGAACTCCCCGTGGCCCAGGCCTTCCGCTGCTGGTGATCTTCCGGCGCTTCGCGCGCGAGGAGACGCCTGCGATTGCCAGCGATTCAGTTGAGTCGAGTTTCCTCGGTTTTTGCGATGCTGCTGGCATCAAGCGGCAGGACAGCCTCCAGGCTTTGTTCGAGCACTTCGTGCAGGCCGCTGTGTCACGGCTCGCAACTATCAGTCGGCCCAGCAGAGCAAAGGTGTCTCTGACAAGGTCTGCAGCCTCAGGGGACCAGCCGGTGGGACTCTTGCGATGAACGCTGACATCTGAGGCTGATCCAACGCGGGACTCCGAAGATGCAGGTCAATCAGGTGAGCAGCCGGTGCTCGTCGGAAGAAGTGCGGCCTAGCAGCCCTTTTGAGGTGCATGAAGTCTTGGCGAAGACTGCTTGTATGCGTGCCCGGGCCGAGCTGTCGTTGCAAGGGCGTCCGGGTCCGGCGACTTTGCCACTTTGTATCTGCTCTGAATGTGTGTGTGTGTGCGTGTGCGTGTACGTGGGGAGGATTGCACAAGTGTGTGTTGCCCTTTTGGTGAGTGTTTCTGTGCTTTTCGATCAAGATGGCAGGCAGCAGAAGAATTAGTGTATGCAGGCGGAACAGGTTGAGGAGAAATCGAACCAGCGAGGTTTGCACATCTTTTCGGGCGAAGACCCCCTGCTGGGATGGCTGCAAGGTTCAGAAATCGAAGAACCTCCTTCGAAAGATTGAGCCCTTCAAAAGCCGTCGCGAGTGCTGAATGCTACAAGCAACCCCTGCTTTACAGTTGCACGGGCTGTGGCAACATTACAAAGCACTTCCCACATGTCTAAGCACTGATCTTCATGAACTGATCCACCTTTAGGAGGCTAAGGCTAAGTTCACCCTGCAGCATCAATTCGTAGTTGTGTTTACTTTGGTGTTTTGCGTTGTTGCGGTTCGATGCTTGGTAAATCTACTGTGAGGTGAGTGGCATGTAAGGTGTTCCATCCTTGGACAGACGAATGCGGCGACTCCTGCAAGAGGCCCTACGGATGTCGGCCATGGCTTTGCTAGCAAAGTGCGAATGCTACGCAGGTCTGCAAGGCATACCTCTCCAGCTACATCGAGCTGCATCCGAACTTGCAGGCGATGCTCAGCACTTTTTGCAGTCTGCTACCTGCCAGTCGCCAGCCCACATTGGGGCTGGCAACAATATCGTAGAATCGAGCCACCGGGGCCAGGAGAAACATTGTTGTACATTCGGAGGAAAGCAAAGCACTCGCCCTCTGTCGTGGATATATAGGTTGAGCTCCGAGATGCTCGGAGGTTGAGTCAGAGTCTCTGTCTTCTGGATGAGTCCTTGCAGCTTTCTGGGTCAAGTGCTGCAGCCCAGACGATCCGATAATTTAGTGGGCTTCTGACGCTTCCAAGCTCGACAAGCCCTGCAGTCGCTTGGTCTGGCAATTGACGACCAGCACGAAGGCACTCAGCACGGATCATCACGAGACTTGATGCAGTGTAGCTCAACGTCAACGCAACTGCTTCACCTCTTTCCCTGTCACTCTCGTCTTCTCTCCTTCTCTCTGCTCTCTCCTTTTGCGTCCTTCTCTGGCTCTCGGGCTCTCTCGCTCTCTGGCTCTCTGGCTCTGTCGCGCTGGCTCTCTCTCAATCTTGCTCCCTCTCTCTCTCTCTGCTGTCCGTCTCTCTGTCTCTCCGTTCTGCTGTCTTGCCGTCTCTCCGTCTCTCCGTCTCGGTCTCTCTGTCTCTCCGTCTCTCCGTGTCTCCGTGTCTCCGTCTCTTTGTCTCTCTGTCTCTCTTTCTCGCTCGCTCTGGCTCTTGAAGTCCGTCCAAGGGCGCGCTGCCTGGACTGGATCTGCTGATCTGCCTGTGCTCTGGGTTACAGCTGCTTGGGTGTTTCGAAGCACTCGAGCCGCGCTTCCTCTTGATGAGCGTGGCGCAGCCCCCTGTCTCCAACGTACAGTGAGTGGTGGCCCGTCGTGTTTCGATCGGAGGGGGCACTAGTAGTCTTCTTCGCGGCTCGCCTTTTCAGGTAGCTGCATTCAGACAGCCGATGAAGGCGAGGCATCGAGGCCGCCGGAGCCATGGGCGGTTGTGGGATCCGGGCCCCCAATGTGGCCCTGGCCAGGCTTGATCCTCCTTGCCGTGCTTTGCCTCACTTCAGGGGTCAAGAGGCCGCGCACTGGCACGAGTTTCCACGAGTAAAGCGCTGCAGCCTTGGGAAGATCTCACGCAGCGCCAGCACGCAGGTTCCAGGAGAACTTGCCGGATCCACATTACGTACCGGCCTCTGGGTGCTGTCGTAATCGCAGGTCGTCTCAATAGGTCGTGACTTTGGCCAAGCACTTTCCTCTTGAAAAGGCGTCGCCGACATGGCCGGTCGGCCACGGCCGCGGCTCTGGGGTGGTGATTTCGCTCTTGGAGACGCACGCGGTGGTCACAGAGGAAGCGCGGCTTCCCAGCCTCCTAGTCTCTCCGATGCTCGACTTCGATCCACGCAGATGGCGACTGCAGGTGAAGAACGAGATTCACGAGTTGTTTTCTGGAGTTGCCCAATCCCTCTCGAATGTAAGGCTTGCTACATTTCAGCATGCAAGAAGGTGGTTGAAAGCTGCCGCATGGCTTCGAAGGCACTTTGACAGCTACCTGGACTCGCTCGCAACTGCCTTGATATCGTTGTCAGAGAAGGTGCAGCAGCCACGACAGCCCCTTTCAAGTATCCATGCTCGCATGCTATCCTGGAGGTGCGAGGGCCCTACTTACAGAGCCCTCTCAGTGAGATTTTGAAAGTTATCGACAAGACACTCAAGCCGGGCATCTTAGACCAGCGGGGCACTCGGTTGCGATGGACAAATCACAACAACAAACTCGTCGTCATTCCCACCTTTGTTGCCTTTCTGCTGCGTTGTGACTCTTCCAGGCATGCCGCTGCACAGCAGGCTCGGGGCCAAAATGCTGCTTTCGCAGGTTTTTGTCACACGCAGCGGCAGTTTACCGTTGTCGTCTTTCGTGCAGCAGGGTCTGGAGGGTGCGTCATGTTGTGAAACAGCTCAGGCCATCACTCGCGCAGATCAGAGCGTCGTCCATTGTTGTCGGGCTGCACGAAGGTTTCGCATTGAAAGAAGTGCTGAAGTTGCACGCTGCATGGGGGAACACGTCTCTTTGAGGGAAGAAGCTGGGGAGCCGTTCCCTCCGGCTTGGCTGTCGGGTCAGTTCTGAGCGTCACCAGAATTCACCAGACCCAGGCTACCACACGCTTTGGAGAAGCTTGAATCAATCCAATGCCATTCTCCAGTCCCTGGCCGAGAAGAGAAAGGTCCCTCCATCTGCAAGACGAGACCATCACTTTCTCCTCTTGGATATCCATAGCACCGGAAGATTACGCAGGCGATCAAGTCCTGCTACAGCTCGGCCGCAGCAGCACCTCGCAACGGAAGACCAAATTTCATCCAATTTCCAAAGTCCTGTGTCGTCCCGTCGTGTGCTTCCCTCAGGATTCGGCCGGCGTGGCCACGGCCCTTCTCAGTCTGCCCAGGCTCGGCCCCGGCCCGCATCGGCCGCATGACCCGCGTGGCCCCCGCAGTTTCACTGCCAAGAGCCACCAGGTTATTGACTGCACGTGCGTCCGACTGCGAGAGCCTACTTGCAGCCTCCAATGCAAGAGAGGCGCCTCTGGAAGCCGCGACCCTGCACACATACAAGGAAGCGCTTTGGAAGGGGCAGAAACGAAGCCAAGGCTTGGGCAGCCAGATGCGATCATCACGATGGCTCCAGTGTGGGGACCTATCTCATGAAGCAGCTCATGCACTGGGAGGCGGGCCGAGACCTGCGGTCAGCCGGTGTGTGCCGTAGCGTGCACCCGAGCACCACTAGGATCTCCTTCAACGCTATGACGACATCGAGAAGCGCTGCAAGGAGTCGACGTCAAGCTATGAGACGCAGGTTCTGAGGCGAGGCGGAAAGCAGTTGCCGTTGGCCCTCAAGAATTTACAGCATGCCACAGCTATTTCCTTACGCAGGTATAATTCACTGAAAAGCAGGGCCCCGAGCTTTTTGTTGTTTCTCGCAGCTGCGGGAATGGCACCCCCGCCCTTCTGAACAGCAGGTCACCAGCATGACGGAGCCGACTGTCGGCCCCTTCAAGTCGATATGGATGAAGCAGCCTGCCAACAGGCAGTATATAGTATAGGCGAAGACAGCGTGCTGCCCTGAACAGCAAGCGGCTGCAAGGCGCTGGATCGAATCGAGTCCTGCGGGACCTACGGCAGCTGCATCAAAGCCAGGTTCCCAGTGCCGGGCCGATACTTCGACCCAGTAACAACGCCCTCCAGCCATGCTCCACCTTCGTGACTGAGACCTCCTCCAGAATTACGAAGCATGATATCGGCAACTCCTCTGCTGCCTCGCCTAGGGCCTCGGGGAAACGACAACTTCGCAGCTCGAAACTTTCGGCCTTCGGTTCGGGACGCGGACCAGCAGCTTGAACGCCAGTCGTCCCGGCCGGCTGTGACCACTGAGGACATACATGGCAATGACATCACGGATGAACCACACACTAAATTCTGAATCCTAAAGCTTGCCGCGAAGCGGCGATCTCAAGTGCAAGGCTCACCCACTTTGGAGGCCGGTAGTGAAGAACAAAAGCCGCAAGTGCTACACACGGAAACACCAGGACCTCGTCTCGCACTTTGTCAAACATAGCTCGAGGTGGTTGTCTACAAACGAAGCGAATTTGGAGCATACCAGGTCTTTCATCACGATTGTCTGCAGCTGATTCCTGCTGTTTCAGTGAATTTGCAATTTTCCCACCTGTATGAGCTGGGCTGAACATCGCGGGGCAGACACAGTTCCGTGAGGATTAAATCGTGAAGAGATGATGTGAAATAGTATCACAGCAATTCAGCGTATCCCCGTCAGGCTTGTCACTCGAAGAGGTGTCTTGAAGGCGCTGATGTTTTGAGATGGTTGGACGACCGCGGCCAAGGAGAGCATCGCCGATCGAGCGGTCCTTCACACGTGCCTTCGCTTGAAGTGACGCGCTATCTTGCCGTTTGCTCTTTCCAGGAAAGCAGACTGTGACCTGTCCTCGAGGTCGCAGTGCAAGCTTGAAGTGAACTTGAAGGCCCTCGAATCCTCTGGATGCCCGTGGGGTCTGGAGATGTCTGCGAGGCACAGTGGTATGCGCTGGAATCAATGAAGTGCTTGCTGAAGTCATATGAAGACCACGGAGGCTCTGAGGACAGCGGGACCGGTGCAGGTTTGCAATCGCATGGCCGCAGTTTTTGCTGATTTGTTCAGGACTTGCTCTCGAAATTTGCAATCTGCAAGTCTCGTGGTCCTGAAAGCTACAACCTCCACTTCCTGTCTCTGCAGGGGTGCGATGATACCAAGGCAGGAACATGTAGGATTGTTCAAGTCTCAAGTTTCGCGCTTCCCGCAGCAAGGCCGATGTGGCGGATGCCCTGAACTCTACACATTCGAGTTCGAAGACTTCACGTGCGTGCGCCATCACCAAAGACCCAGAGAAGGACCCTTCACTGCCCGGTCGGTCGCCCAGGCTTGGAAGACTTGGAAGGGAGTCCCCTAGCCCTAGCCATTGTACGTCCAAGGTACTGCTGCGTATGCAGCTTGTCGGGAAACCCCAGAAATCTGAGCGGTTGTTGCAATCTCGAGAAGAGCTGCCCGACCCAAGGAAGCGACGTACTACAGTGGCTTTGAGCCTGCGAAATGCACAGCAAAGTGCTGTGTACAGCCGCCGTTCACCACTACGTCCACAACAACATCAACCTCGTCGACGTCCACAACATCTACGACGTCAACTACCACGACCACCACAAAAAGTGCTCTCCTTGGTCGCATACTGTGGGGACTAGTAGTGTGGGGCTCCAAGCCATTTTCCGATACGTGGGACATGGCGACAATGAAGCCCTCACAACCTGCTTTTCAGGTGTGGCAGCATGCTTCTTGGTTTCATTGCAGATGGCTGGGACCACGTAGATTCCTCGATGCTGGTAGATGTGCGAAGGCAACGCCACGACTGTCAGCATGGAGCGATCCAACAACGGCACGTGTACAAAGCTCCTGGACGGGCGCCAAAGGCTCCCAACTCTGTTTGTCTCCATCTCCATCTCCGTCTGTCTCTCTGCTTTTCTGTGCAGTCGTTCGGTATCAAGCCACCGCATCGACTTTCATGTCTAAAGAGGTGGGTGGCGAGACTGGCGCCAGCACCAGGCACCCCAGAAGCGGACCTCAAGGAGTTTGGACTGGCTTTGGAACTTGGTCTGAGAAACCACTTTTCGCGTTCTTCGCTTCCTTGATTGTTGATGGTTATCAACTACAGGTCGTCTGACATGCGTACCTTCTGTTCATTGAGGCAATCAAATCTGCGAAAGTGACCAACACATCGAAGCCACAAACTCCTGAAACGGAGATCCCTCACGTGGCTCGGGTGACATGTTTTTTCCTTTGTCCAACATTTGTTTTTCAGCTTCATGCACCCTGTCCTAGATGTGGTTGAAGGACATGCTTACGACTGGTTTTGATTGTTTTTTTGTATTGTCGGCAGAATGGTGCATCCTCGCCGGCTGTGGACAGAAGATGACAGAAACATGTGGATATGCTTTGCTAAGGTGGTGATGGGCAAGGTCCACTCCTAAGTTTCCAGGGCTACTTGAGAGCACCACCGCAAGCACATACGAGATGACGTAAGAAGTGTTGAGTGGTGAGTGCCTAGGACAAGAAGCTCACGGTTTACTTGGAACACCCGGGCAACTGCGATGAGCAGCGCAGGGTCTTACAGCGGGTAATTCCAGCCGACAGGACCGGATCGAGGGATGAAGGTTCTGCAGCGCAGAGCTCTCACAGCAGCGCAGGAGCATCAAGTTGCACCGCTGCAAGGGCTCCGACGACTACTTTGTTTGAGCGGACAGGCTGACAGGTGCAAAGAGAGTTTCACTCTTTGTCGGCTGTGACCGCAAGCAATCCACAGTTTAATGGCGGCATCCGAGTTTGGCAAGCTCGCAATGCTTTCCTGGACACGCTGTCCCCGCAAACACGTTCCCCCTCTTGTAAAAGCAGTGAGAGGATTGCCTCCAAAGCTTGTTCTCATTCGTTCGACGGCCAGCATGAATGAACCCCTGCACGGGAGCACATGTGAATGACAAGAACCGGAGACGCGGGCCTCGCGACATCTATAGACGCACTCGACAGGAACTCTTACGACATGCTGGCGCAAAGAGTCAAGTTGCATCAAGGTTTAGCAGAACAGTCGGTATGCTAAGTACCTTGGGACTTGGGAGGCTGTGCTGGATCTTTGGCCGGAAGACGAGCAAGATCTGAAGCGTTGGGCCGCAAGCCCAGGGACATTCCGAGAGTTGTGCGACGGTTGTACGTGCACCGTGCAAGGCTCAAGCGATTCAGACCGAGGACGCCCACAAGACACACACCCTCACTCTCACTCACACTCACACTCACACTCTCACTCTCACTCTCACTCTCTTTCATGTGTTCGCTCGTTCCCACTCCGCCCCGCCCCGCCCCGCCCTGCCCCGCCCCGCCCCGCCCCACCTCGCCCCGTCATAATCATCATCATCATAATCATCATCATCATCATCATCATCGTAACCACAATGACATTCATCATCGCCATATCGCCATCACCTTCACCACCACAATCACCACCAAGGGCATCATCATCATCACCACCACAAGCAGCAAGCCGGGGGATGAAGGCTCGTGCCTCCCAGCAACCAATGCAGTCACTGAAGAGTCGAACGCAGTGCAAGCCCAACAGGGGGAGATTGGTCCTTAGGTTCTGCTAGTTCGAGCTTTTCGCCAAGCTTTCCTTTAGATAGCATGAGGACCAAACACCCAAATTCGAGCTCGTGTTATGTCAGCAACAATGTCGATCCCTGAATACACTAGCTGCAACATCTTAAGAACCAGGGGGACAACATTCTGTTTTCGCACTCCTCCAAAGCCCCATAACGTATCGGGGCCCGTCGTGGCCGGGGTCTCCCACACCCCTCATGCCCTGATGAAGAAGGGAGAAAGAGCGAGAGAGCGAGCGACAGAGGGAACAAACAGCAGACCAGTTGCAAAGGCGGGGTGGCAGTTGTAAAGTGGGGTTTGTCCTGTCTGCGGCTGTAAAGTGGGGGGTCTGGTTGTTAATCTCCCTTGCCCGCCTGCGAACAGTCCATGAAGGGAGTGACCCCCTGTGCCGATGAACCAGAACACCATGCGTACTCGCACGCACACTCAGACACTGACACACGCTGAGCATAGCAGGGCATGTTTGTCAGCGTGGCATTTGAAAGGAGTCACCTCGGAGTCCCGCAAAGGAGGAGCTCAGTTTGTGAACTGGAGGTAGGAAGGTTGAGGATTGTTCAGGACCCATCAGGTATATGCTGGGACAGGGGCAGGTAAACCAGTCATAGCTTACGTTGTGGAAGGGTGGATCATCCGCTGATCGAAGCTTGCAGGAGGCAGCACCGACTGTGTCTGCTGGCGAGGATTTTGGCAGCTCGAAGCAAAGGCATGGAGTCGGTACACCGGTCCCTCATTGCATTCTGTGCCAAGGCCATGGCAGCCATGGCCTGGAGCTTCGATCCATTTCTCCGTCAGTGCCGGAAACCCGCTTTTGCTGCGTCCTGCGTGCAAGTGCCCGGAAGTGTGTCAAAGGCACAACGACGCCCAGCCCAGGCTTGGACTGTTGCTTGATGTAGGTTTCTTCCTTGTCTTATTCGTGCTACTTGCAGATTTGCTGTGAAGGTCCCATTCCTTCGCTGACAGTGTCTGGCTTACCATGTCTGCTGCGCAGTGTTTTCCCTGTTGGCACAAGCTTTCAGGTTCAACCGCCCAAGTTGCGCAGCTCGCTAAAGAGCCAGAGCCTCATATTTCTGGTACGATTGGAATCCTGCTGTGGTCTTGCAGCCAGTCAGCGGAGCAAAGTGCTTGGATGGATTGTTTCTTGGGCGAGAGAGGTTGCGACATATTCTGAAGTTCAAGCATCAGCCTTCACGATACATGTAGAAAGCCAAGTGCCCTCACAAGAGATTGAGATCCTAGATACAGGTTAGGTCCTGTAGGTTTTGAACCACCTCACCAAGTGAGCAGTTTGCAGGGCGTCGCTACTAAGATCTCACGAACATCGAGAAAATGGTACCGTTTCCAGGCTCGGCGTGGAAGATGAGTTCCACAGCTCAACCTAATTAAACCTGTCCCTGCACCTCAAGGAGCTTAGACGCTGCGGCAGCGTGATTGTAACAGCAAAGACTGGTCACTAGTTTCATGTTGGTCAGCCATGATATGAACGGCATGGCGAAGAAAGAGATGCGAGTCGGTCAAAGGCTTGACCTTTCGGGGTTAGTAGTATGCAGGAATGCCTAATTGATGTGCATCCCAAACGTTTTCTTTTACCGTGGTCCCGGCAACTTGTTAGGCGGTGCTTTCTCACATCACCTGAATTCCAAGCCGATTTCTGGATGTCAGCAGCTTCCAGACGATTGGCCAAGTGCCAAGGACAGAGAGTCTGCGTGACGAGCTTGCTGTTGCGAAGGACACGCGCACGGGCTGGCTGAATTTAGTTCCGCAGTTGTTGTGTGTATGGTATGCTGTACTATGCTGTTGTACCCCGAAGGACAAACAAACAAAAGCCCTGGCGGAAGCAGAGGCACGCTCGCACGTTGTGTGCGGCCGTGCCGAACCTGCGAAAGGATGCACTGAGCTTCGCAATTCGAAGCTTCCCGTAAAACCGAAGCTGCTGTCTCCAGCAACGACGCTCTGCGTCCCTGAGTCTGACCCTGTTTGGCGGCTAGAGGGTCCGGATGCTGTGTCGTGCATCGCAGGCTCTCCGAAAAGAGCTCGGCCTCGAGCTGAGCACCAAAGAAGGGGGTGATGTGTTAAGTTAGGCTCTTGACTTACGACAGTTACGACAGGCGAGGCCAAGGAGTTGCAAAAAAAGGCCAGGCAGAACTCCGGGCGTTGTGCCGACAGAGTGTGAGAGGTTACACGACGGTTCAAAAGGGTTTAGGGCAAGAAGTTGCAAGTGCATCACACACGTTGCTTCATCGTGGGCACACTTGTCCAACATCAGACTTGTCGCTAGGTGTTGGCATGTCCGTACGGGCTTGCCGGGTGTAGGCGTGCATTGACATCGCGGCGTTTGCTTGAGTGCACGGAGCGTACTCTCCAAAATAGTACAAATCGTGCCAGGGCTCTGAGCATTCATCTACTCGAGTTTCAAGCCTGTTCCACATCAAACTTGAGTGATGCGGAAATCGCTTCAGGCTGAGAGATTTTGCTAGCATTCGGACTGATATGCTCGGAATATCTCGGAATGCTCGTGCCAATTTGGTTCCCTTCGTGTTCGCGTGTCGAGGCTCGAAAACGTTTCACTTGATCTAGTGTGCAGACTTTGGAGCTCTCGGACACTTTTATGTCGTTTCTCGTATCCGTGTGCGCGTTCCGGGAGACACAGACCCTGACAACAAGTTGCAAAGCAATGCGCCACTGCCGCACCCCTTCTCTGGGTGCCTTTCCTCGTTACGACTTGCCTCAATGATCCAAGTGACGAACTTGGCATTGTGCCGTCAGCTGATCTGTACATGCAAAAGGTTCACACGCCTTCCGAAAAGACTGAACGGCCGCCAGCCGCCTCGCAAAGACAAGACGTTTTAGCAAATCAAGCTGGCTTTAAAGTCGCATGTGCCGTGAGACTGAGTCATGGAGCCCAGTCAAAGAACCCAAGTCAACATGTCTAGGCTCAACCATCTTTACTTTCGCGACGGTGGAGCTCGACATCCCTACAAATCCGAATGAATCCGAATCAAACGATGTAACAAACAAGGTCAAGCCGGGAGCCGAAAACCCAAGCCGAAGAGAACACTGACCGAATGGAAGTCCGCCGCACCCGAGATTCGTTTCTCTCCACCGTCCGCCCGAGGCCAAGGCCCATATCCACTTAGTCCAACACCCGATGCCCGAGGCCAAGGCCGGTCCACCGTCTAACGTCTTCGGAAGAGCTCTTCCGTCAAGACAGGGCCCGTTTTGGCGCACCTCGCCTTGGAGCACTAAACGAGAACCCAACCCCAGAGGGGTTTCCGGGAACACGGCATACACGAAGATGGGCTAATGGAAGGTAAACTATCTTTCGCAGCTATGCAGCATTCACTGTCGTTTAAGTGGCCAGACATCCATAAGACTCATCCTCGCTAGTCTGCTTTCTGTTTGATTGAACTTTCTCAAAGCCTCTTGGCAAACTGCAGGGTTCTTGTCTCCTTGACCACAAAAATCGACTCCTTGAGCGGTCCAAGCCCCGTCAACTCACGATGTCGGATGAGCAGGTCTACGTTTCTAGCAGCAGACCGCACCCTGTGCGCTATCCCCTCCGTGTTTATGACTGCTGCTGCCTTTGCCTGCATCGTTTAGAGCGTTCCTTCGCGTGCTTACGTGTTGCTCAGTTTGACAGGCCAGGTGAACTTGGAATTCCATCTCGCATGGCATTTCTCACTGCATTTCTCAGCCTCACCTTCAACCCTCACGATGAGTGACCTGTGGGAAGTGGTAGAATTCTCAATGAAGAGGTTCGCCATGTTGAATGCTTACAAGTTGAGAACGCACATTCTTAGATGGGGCTGTGACATGTGATGTGCCATTGGTGAATATCCTTCCGGGCACTAGAGTCTGGTGCCCCTAGCTTTGTTACAGGTTGAAGCCGAAGTTGAGCAGCTGCAAGAACGCCGAGAGGAAACGCGGCATTCTTCAGGGGCAACATGCAGTGTCGGAATGTGTCGGATATGTGCGGAGGAGATCCTTGCCCGGCGGCGGCACGGGTCTCAGGGCAAGCACGGAGCAGCGCCCTAGCCAGCCGGCGGCGCATCGCAGTGCCGTGGCGCGCCGCGTCGAGATGTGGACACTCGTGGACCTTGGATGAAAACCCTGAGGCAGGCAGCTGCGAAACGAGGGCAAGGTATCTTGCCTTAGCCTGCTCATGTACGCAGTCCAAAGCATGCGATGCCTGCAATGCCTGCATGATGTATGTGAGCTCCTGTCCGTCCTCTGTTCTTGGCCTTTCGGTTGATTCGTGTGTAGGAGAAGCAAAGGCCCGCCTGCTACCAAGTGGATGTGAATTCATGTGGTTTCTTGTGTCCACCTCGCATGGAAGTAGAGACGGCGCCCCTAATCGTCATGGCCGAGGAAAGCCCGCAAAGGCCGAACCTGCAGCCAGTGAAGACCTCACGGAGGAGAGCCCCTGCGTGCCCATGCTCCGAGCGCATTTGAGACTTGACATGGATGCGGAGTTGTCATTTGGAAAGTCCTGCCAACCTTTCACGTTGATTCTTTGATTACGGAACTGCCGAAGGTGCCACGGCGGTGCGGTGATGTTTCTTTTCGTGGTAGTGCTGTCGGCACATGTGGGACCTTACTTGACACGCGGATCCATCGAACAGGGGAGAAATCTTGGCTCCTGGAACTCAGCAACCGGATGGATGTTGTTTGCCATCTTCGGTGGAATGTTTGTTGAATGTCTCGGCAGTCAACGATGTTGTGATGGGGTATGTCGGCTTGAAATTTGGTTCATGTCCCATGAGTCGCTCATGCAGCCGCTGTCCGTCGTGCTGCTTCAGGGGCAACATGCAGTGTCGGAATGTGTCGGACTTGTGCGGAGGAGATGCTTGCCCGGCGGCGGCACGGGTCTCAGGGCAAGCACGGAGCAGCGCCCTAGCCAGCCGGCGGCGCATCGCAGTGCCGTGGCGCGCCGCGTCGAGATGTGGACACTCGTGGACCTTGGATGAAAACCCTGAGGCAGGCAGCTGCGAAACGAGGGCAAGGTATCTTGCCTTAGCCTGCTCATGTACGCAGTCCAAAGCATGCGATGCCTGCAATGCCTGCATGATGTATGTGAGCTCCTGTCCGTCCTCTGTTCTTGGCCTTTCGGTTGATTCGTGTGTAGGAGAAGCAAAGGCTCGCCTGCTACCAAGTGGATGTGAATTCATGTGGCCATGTGGTTTCTTGTGTCCACCTCGCATGGAAGTAGAGACGTCGCCCCTAATCGTCATACTTTGCCGAGGAAAGCCCGCAAAGGCCGAACCTGCAGCCAGTGAAGACCTCACGGAGGAGAGCCCCTGCGTGCCCATGCTCCGAGCAGGTTGATAGCGGATTCTTTAGCCACTCTTTGCATGATATCTTTGGGATTTCCCCAGCCATTCCAAACTTGCTGGGCTTGTCTTTTAGGCCGCCGGCAACAAGGAGGCAGAGCATGCCGAGCAGGAGGCAGGTGGAGCGCCCATGGCAACAAGAAGTGCCTCAGAGCTGGACAATCGTGTTCGTGGCAGCGTAGGCTGTAGGCTGCAGGCCGAGAGCCTTTGAGAGCTTTGTAGCTGGACATGGGGTTGGGCACAGTTCAGACTCTGGAAGGCGGAGGGGCGTCCAAAACGTCAAAGGAGTCGACCCCGCAAAATATCACATCGCAGATCTTGGCGATGACACGCTCTGCGATGCTTCGACATGTAAATAGCGGCCCTGTGGGTTGTATTGACAAGTACTGGCACGAGCTGGATGTGAAATTGCAGCGTCCAGCCGTCCAGTATCGTCTGGTGCTAATGCTACCTGCTGCCGATACTGTTTAGCAGTTCAGGCGCGCTGGCATGCTTGACAGGGAGAGTGCGAAGCCCGTGCTCTTCTTTTAATGGTACGATCTTGCAAAGCAAGCTGCCCACACAAACGGATATACATGGCAAATGAGTGGCCCGTATTTATGCAGTAGTTTGGTCCGAAAACACCCTGCCAAGTTCGCATCGCAGCTTCTCGACCGTGTCCGCAGCGTGCGCCGAGTGCGGCTCAACAAGTGCCGAGTTAGGCTTCCGACATATTCCGACAGCTACATGGGTCAGAGCAATTCTTGTCCTTCGTGTGACCAATCACGTGATGTTGTAGGGCATATACAGAGACCAGGCAGTCTGTCAAGTCAAATTGGGCATGCTGGATGCTGGTGTGGCGTCCACCATGCCATCCACTACATGGATGCGTCAGTTTGCCGTTTCGGCTGACGACAACTTCTCCGCGCGCACCGCCTGCAGCCAAGTCGGATCTTTTTCCAGGCTGCTCCTTGGCTCACCCCCTGTCTCAGTGTGACAAGGCTAGCACATGAAGCCCTCTCCGGCATGGGCCTGTGAGTGAATTTTAAGCGAAGTTGCAAACTTATGGAGGCCCTTGACTTCAAAGCATCAGCTGTGGAGATTCTGGCTGACATTAGGCCTTTGAAGCCGTGCCGCATTGGATAACGGTTGGGGAACAGCGCGGGCCTTCCAACAAGCTGCTTTTTGTGTTGAGCCGAGTGTGAGCTCACGATCAGCTGAGGGGAGATCCCGAGGGGTCAGAGTTGGAAAGACAGTGGGATGAATGCTTCGAGGCTGGCGGCTTGCATGGCTTACACGGCTTACACGGCTTACACTTGCCAATGTGGCATCATGATCCAGAAGTGCGGAAACATTGCAAGGATTAGCTGCGAGTCGTCAAAGTGTATCGTTTTTTGCAGGGAATGCTTAGCCGACGCGATGTTGGAGCCTCAGTGTTTGCCAGTTGCCGACGGTTTACGCATGGCATCGTCGCGGCAACCTGTCCCCATGCCAATCTCTAGAGGTAGCCTCTTTGCAGGATGCAGTTCATGCATTTCGTTGCAATTCAAGCACCCAACTCGATTCGAGCACCAGCGATTCCAGAAGGTTCGGGGAATTTGGGGTTTGTTGGCTTCTGCGGTTTTTAGGTTTAGGGTTTCTACGGCTTCTGGTTTTGGGGGTTTGGGGCTGTCGTGCTTAGTTTCAGAGGGTCAAGGGTTTGAGGGTGAAAGGTGAAGAGTTTCCGTTGTTGGGTTTGTAGTTAAGAACGGATGTATGTCTCCGTTGACTTGACGCTTTTTGGGCAAGCAGGGTTAAGTGTGACTTTATGTTACTTTTCTTCTGGTCCTCAGCCGTAGCAGCAGTAGCAGTCATGTTCACTTCATATTAAGAAAGGCCTCCCCACCCCCCAGGGATGTAATCTCCAGACTCCGTAATAAGAATCCGTATCCAGCATCAGAGCCATTGACCTCCACGAGCCTTAAATCCTTTTCAGTTCCTCTAAGCCTTCATCTATATGAACAAGATTCTGGTTACATTTTTTCCGCTCCAACTGCTAGGATTCTGCAAACACGGGAGGGGTTTCAAATTACGTTCTGGGAATTGGTAGTGTAGTAGTATTCGTAGTAGCAGCAGTAGTAAGTAGTAGTCAGTAGTAGTTAGTCGAGTAGTAGGAGTAGTAGTAGTAGTAGTAGCAGCAGTAGTAGTAGGAGGAGGCATTGCATTGCATTGCCAACGTCTCACCGATCCGCGATGATTGACGACATGGCAAGCTTCGCCTTCGGCTGAGCTCGGCAGTTCAAGGCTGCATCCTACTCTTGAGGATCTTCTTCACTAAGCTAGCTCCAAAAATCTCTATCCACAGCGATCCGCCGTTGGGTCGCAGCTGGGTGTGCTTCCGTCGCCTTCGTCGTATTTGGCGGTGGCATGGCCACCCGAGGCCTATCTGCCGCCATTGCGGCCTGTGTAGGAAGGGACGACACAAACGGTAATCAACCCAACCAAACCAACCCCCGAAGTGCAGTGACAACATCATGCAGGGGCTGTGTGTAACAGCTTGGAGCCTGCAGGCACGCAGTGTGCATTGCCGCTGCAACTGAGGCTAGTTTTTGGCAGGCCCCGTAGGCACACATAGATTGAGCTACGCACACAGCCGAGCTGCAAAGGAAGCGGCACATCATGCAAGCAGTTCACACAGTTATGAAGAAGTCCACCGTACATGTGATCATGTGGCTTCCACTGCCAGGCCCCTATGCATTGCGCCTGATGATCTTAAGATCCGCAGGTTTTGCATGACGCAGGGAGCGTCATCGCATACCCACAGTAGCGATACACTGGAGCTGATGCGTGTGAGGACCGCTCCGACGGTGCCGCTATTGCTGTCCTGTAGTGTCCGCTAGATACCGCATTGCCAACGTGATAAATGATAGATGCAACTTGGAACGCCTCATGTCGCACTGCAATCTCACGTTCGGCACCCTTCTCACCGGCTGCACCGAAGATCGGCGTTGCAACGTTTCACCTAGCTCTATGTGCACTGCCCGACTGTTCTTACGCGCGACGGCATCAAAGCTATAACGAACCAACCTAAAGACTACTATGCCACTGTGCTCAACAATGGCATGTGTGGCATATTGCACTGCCCATGAGCCCAGGTTCTGCAAAAGGATCTCCAGGGAGGCTTGGATCTTTGTGGTGGCCACCGGGTGTTGATCTGAGCGAAGCTGCTTCTTTTGCTTGGGGTCCCAAATGTGACAAACCCACACTGGGGCCCAATGCCGTAGCGCCCTGAACCGTCCACCCCACTGAGACGGCGCGTGCGCGATCATGCCATCGTACTGCGTGAAGGCTGTCAGGCGTTCCTGCAGCTCCCGGATTACAGCCATGATCAAGATAAGCCGCAGGACCGACAGCTCGTGGCCGTTGGGGGTATCGAAGTAGATCATGAAACCCGTCTCCGAGCGAAGCTGTCCCAGCTCCTTTTCGTGGCGAAGTGCCAACTTGACCATGTTCTGTCTGAGCTGCTCCGTCTCCCGATCCAACCGGGCCACCGGTCTTTTCCTCGTGCCCGTCCTCCAACCTGTCCCCACTGATGCTTTCCGCGGGGCCAGGAATGCCAGGAGCTCTTGCCGCCCTTGCTTTCCGGTCTCGGATACTTCTGCGGCGGCCCTGACCCCGAGGCTTCCACCTCCTGCGGTTCCATCTCGATCTGCTGTGCGCTGACCGCCCCGAACACGGACTGCCTCTCCCTGTGAGCAACCGTCCGCTGGACAACGCCTAAGATGCTTGCTAGGATCCTTGAATGACTTTGTGCAGTACCTGCATGGTGCCTCGGCGAGCAAGCCGAGACTGCTGTAATGCGCGGCGGCCTCCCGCTCTTATCGTGCATACAGTGTACCATGCATCAAGCGGTAATGCTGCTTCAAGCCCGGTCCGATCATGTTTACATATTGGACACACAGCGCACAGTATGTTCTCAGTGCTCAGGGCAGACTTGTAGCTACCCTCCCTCAGGACGCCGCTCCAGTAACTGCTGACTTTCCTCAAAAAGAGCGTCGTCTTCAAGCAACGAGGTGCAACTCACAGGCATATAAGGTAAGGCATTTTCTTCAGCAGCATTCGGAGAGCTCTCCGCGACGATACATACAGCGACCTAGCTGATCAGCAACAGTCGAGGCTACCTGTGCCTCGACCGCCGGCGGAGCATCCCTGTTGCCTTCCTCCGGCTTTCTGTGTGAACCTTTAGCAAACAAAACCGGGCAAGACCCCCTGAGATGTTTCCTCAAGCCTTCAACCCTAGTGAATCTTCGCAAGCAATAGATAGGCTCTGGCCTTCGGCTGCGGCAGCTGCGCTCGGGCTTCCGGGTGTCGCTTGGCCAAATGCGTAAGCATGACTCTTCTGCTAAAGTACGGACCACGCAGACACATCACAAGCGGTACCCGGCACGGGATCGATAGGAACAAGTCCATGTTCCTCCGGCGATCCTGCAGTCTCTCGTCTCGGCTACCCAGCCACTCCCACTTGGCCTGCAAAGAAGACCCGAGCTAGAGCATCCCGACTGCGTGATGAAGCCTTTTTAGTGAGAAGTTTATGCAAAGCCCTAGCGGGAGAGACAATATGCAGACGCTGAGGCAGTGCTGCAGTGGACTCATGCCGCAAATGGTTGGGAGATCTCGCCACCGCCCTCAAGGCCCTAGAGTCACACATGTCAAGCTTCCCAGCTTCAGTGAGGCCTACCGCATGCGCACCGTAGTGCGAAGAACTGCGAACACACGCTTGATACAGCTTCACGCGGTGAGACAGCGACAAGCCCGAGGCCTGCAAGATTTTGATCGGCTTGATGCGATGTAAACAGGTTTGATACTCAGAGTTTTGATACGACATCACAACCCCGAGGTACGTCATCTTTTGGGCCCGTGGGATCAGAATACGCCGGTCAGGCATGCCATTTGCGCGCAACTGTTCCCCTGATGGCTACAACCACACATGATTTGCTGGGATTCACCGTCATCCCCACTCTACGCAACACACGGAACAGTGGCAAAATAATCGAAGGTCTTGTAGACTCTCAATGCGCCAATGCAAGTGCGAGTCATCTGCAAAAAGGGTGTTGCAGTTTTGAGTCCATGAGCTGTTGGTCTCTTTAGCCACCAAGTCCAGCACCCAGCAAGTAAACAGAGAGTAAAGGCTCGGCGCGAGCGTACAGCCTTGCCGGACTCTGTCGCAATGTCCATTATGACTGACCGTGTAGGAGCACTGTTCGTGCACCGTCAACATGGCTTCACACAGGGACTCCTCCGCTTGTGCGTGGCGTAACGATGCTAGCAAAGCCCCTTGGGATACTATCAAAGGCCCGGCTAAGATCTAGGCTCATCATTACATGGCGCGTAGCATGTGCTACGGCGCTCTCCTGCACGCTGCACGTGCGCGCTACTCGCTCCAGCCTTGATCCTATCCCTAGCGTCCCGGCAATGCGCAGAGACTTCGCCTTCTGTGGACAGTAGGCAGGCGTACTGCGGCATCCGGCGCAGCAGCTCCGCGGTTCGCGGTTTGCTGCTCCACATTGTCCGAATTGCTGCGACTAGGCCTACTACGCTTCGGCAGCAGAGCGAGTTCACAGTCAGTGGTGGAGGCAGAGTACCGGTGGCCGTCAGCCACCGCGGCATTTAATTCCGCACTGTAGACGCGCGCAAACTGTGCAGAGCATAATTGCCACAGCTCATCCGGCGGACTACCTCGTGGCACCGCTTTACCCTTCTGCAAACCCTCTATAGCTCCCTAAACTTCTTCCTCGCTAATGTGGAGTCCTAAACCGCTACGGGGGAGGTCGAATGAATCATCCCAGTCATAGGCCTTCTAAAAATACGCTTGGATGGCCTCGAACTGTGTGCGCTGCGACAACAGCTGACTAGTGTCAGCTCAGATGCAATCATGATGATGCGATAGACTCACTATGATTATTGGCACGCCAGCTCTATGTGGTTCACCTTCGCGCCCTACGAGAATGCATCTTAAGCTGACGGCTACTCTTCGCAAAGTCTAGATATGTCCTCCAGGCCGAGAAAATGTGTTGAAACCGACTACCAGCAACCCGGATGCGCAAGCGTCTGTGTGCCTGCCACATGGCAGTGATGCTGGGTTTCACCAGTGCACGCATGTCCGTATGCCGGGCAACTCTCCTAGTTTTGGGTCTATTTGGGCCCAGTGTGGGCCAAACACCTGCTGACAGAGTTCAAGAAGCTTAGGGTTGAGGTCAGGCAGACTGACACATCCGACGCTATCCATAAGCAGCTGATCTACTCTATGCTTCAGTTCACTCAGGCAAGGCGAGTCCTCACGCAGCGCCTCACGAAACGCAGTGGAGCTGCGTCTAGTGGGTTGTGTTGGAGGCTTACTCAAACCCACCGAAGCCGCGCACCACCTCAGACTTCCAGTCTCCGGCCTATGCTTCGGACCATGTCGCCACGGGACCACGTCCACTATCGCCCGCGCTTGTGTGCTTCCTGGTGAACAGGTAGTCTATTTGGGTGTAATGACCATTGTTGTTAAACGTGTGTGACTGTGAACATATGGCTGGCCCCCAAGTGTTCAATCCTACCAGGCCACGTTCCCGAATCAACTGCATGAGCTCCTCAGAGTCCGTTGAGCCCCGTGGACAGAGTAGTCCGCGGCCAACCAGCCCCTGATGCGGCCGACACAAGGCGTTCGTGTCGGCGCCCATCACCAACAAGTTTCTTCGTGGCAAGCCCTGTAGCAGCCGACTACATTGCAACCAAACGTGCGACCGTCTCTGTTCAGTATGTTGCGAATGCACGTCACTCCCAGCCCACTGGTACAAGGCCACCGCGAACTCGCTGTGTACGAATCATTCACACGAACAGAGATTCTTGCGTTCTTGACACGAATTGGTTCCTTGCAGCGTGCGAAACCGGTTCCTACCGCTTCCCAGCCGGAGCCCGCGCCAGTCCCTTGACGAAACACCGCCAACAATCTTGGGCCCTGCCCTTTGTGGCGTTGGCATCAGCATTCCGTTAACTGCCTCCAGATTTGTTGGCCCAAACTAATCTATCGTCTTGGTCTTTTACTCGACGAGCGTATGGTTGACTTTCGACAGGTGCCTGTTGCACCTTAGGGAGCGCGCTTAAATCACAAATGTAGAGGTTGGAGTGACCCTGCGATAAGGTCGGTGTCCTATACCACGGACGCTACAGTGAAAACCCTATACAAGAACCCCGTTCGGCGAGAGTAGGGTACCCTAAGGTTCTTAATTTCCATTACATGCGATTTTGACTGAGGGGTCTCAGGAAATGTATTTTCGGATTTTAAATTTCCTTGTCGGGGGCGGTGGGCCATGGGGGTCTGGGAAATTTAGATTTCAGTTCTAAATTTTCAGTGCGTGACACCAGTGGGATTCGAAACAAGAGCTGTTGTCTCCAGAACCCATGCAGAACCACTGCGCTGTGGCATTCCTGCCGTTGCCCACCCATTACACGTTCAATATGTTCGGGCAGAGGGTTTCTTGATGTGGAGGGTTGGAAAATTTAGTTTTCGATTCTAAATTTCCGTGGTGAGGGAAAGCACCCAAATAATCAAGAACCTGATCCAAAAAACTAGGGTAACCTAAGGTTCTTTATATTGAGGCAACTTGAATCTGATGAATTCCGCCTTGGGTAGGGGCTCAGGTTCTTAAACAGTGGGTTCTTATACAGTATTTTCACTGTAGAAAGGTTTGTGTCAAAGAGCGGGCTCTGGCACATAGCCGAGACGAGGCTGAGGTTGCGCTGACTATACTGACTGCATGTACTCCATGTCTCTTACATGCTGGTCGGCTCACCTGAATTATGGGTATGGCAGCGATTGTGCAAAGCTTCATGTGATTCATGTGCCTCCTTGTTCTGCGGCGCTGCACTGCGAGGCCGAACCCAGCTCGAGTAAACTTGCCCGGAGCCAAGCCGGAATTCAACGGCCAAAGCTTTCCCAAGCAAATCCAACTGCGGTTCATGCTGCTGGCCATGAGAATGGTGTGGGCACGGATGTGATTTAGGCGATCGTGGTGACGACATGTAACCACATTTTCTGGGCATCATGATGAGGAGGAGGCAAGAAGGAAGAGAAGTAGGAGGAAGAAGACTGCATCGGGAGCGGCGGCAGAGGTGGCAGCAGAGGTGGCAGCTATCTGTGGCGGCCTGTGTTATGATGATGATGATGATGATGATGATGATGATGATGATGTCGATGAAGATGATGCCATGCTCTCCCATATGGTGCAATCGTGCTATGCTAACGATGATGTTGGTGGTGAATCTGATTCTGATGGTGACTATGAGGGTAATGTTGGTAATGCCAGTGATGCTGTTGCTGGGGCGGTCGCGGTGGTGCCGTTGGAGACGAACAACACTAAGACTAAACCAATATTAGCATGAGCATGTTGGTAACGAAGATGGTGGTCGGATATGATGCACATGGCATTGTGAATGATGCTGGGCAACACCCCAGTCCGGGTTGAGGCTACGAAAGCTGGACCGCGCTCGCAACCTGCAGCTCACTCGAGGAAGCTTGCTCTTTCCAGGAGCCCGTAAGTTGCAAAGACAAGACGTGCCAGTGCACACAATATGCAGTAACGCTGATCGTGCAGGGGCTGGGAAGCGATGCAAACAGTGAGCAAAAAGGAATCCACGAGAACTTCGACCATCTGTTGCTGCGCTAGGTCGCCCACTTCTGGGCGAACTTTATGCGCAGCTCCCCCCACCTCCCCTCCCTCCCCCTCCCCCTCTCGAGACTCAAGTGGGGTTTGGGGTGTAGGGATTAAGGTTTACGGTTTAGGGTTTAGGTTTAGGCTTTAGGGTTGTCGGCGGGGAGGGTGGGAAGGATTTATTCTCGGGCGGGGGGAGGGGGGGGGAAGGGGGGGGGACGAGGGAGGGGTTGCTCCCGTACGACCGTGAAGCAATGACCTCTCGTCGCTGTTGCTGCCTTTTCGCCGAAGGGTTAAACGCAGAAGCCGAAGCGTTCGCCAATCAGTGGCCAAGGTGCGGCAAAACCGCTACGACGCCATGGACGAGACCTCAGTGCTGGCAGTATGGAGTGGCTGAGTAGAGTCTGCTTCAAGCCCAGATGTTGTGAGGCTCGCGGCTTGAAGACGGCGCAGTGGATGAGCAACGGAGCTTTGGCTGCTGCTGTGAAGGCACTGCCTTGACTCCTCCGTCTGTACCCAGGACCCTGCATGATGCAAACTTCTCAAACCATTGCTGTGGCAGCATTTCTTATCCCAGCCGTACGTCCTTGCCATTGTATCTTGCAGCTGTATTGCACTCTTGCGTTTCAGGTGGGAGCCAATCGGAGAATGCGATTGCGATGTGAGCAGGAGGTGGTCAGCACTTTCAAAAACCCAAAGCCCTGCAAGCTGCAAGCACTCTGCAAGCTCAAGGACCTGATGAATGAACTTCATTGCGAACGACAGGCAGCGGAAGAACTGCAGGCACATCGTTTGCACAATTGAGGCTAAGTGCATTCCAGTTTTTTCTGATGCTTGAGCACTGACAGACGGAGCTTTCGAGCGAAATGCGGGAGCTGCGAGACCGCTGCCAGGAGCAGGTGTGAGTGAGTTTTCACCAGAAGAGATACGGTAGTATAACGGATAACGTAGTATTGTTGTGCGATGTTGTGCGCCATGCAGGGCCAAACTGTGGGGCTGCTGACGCAGCGCCTGGCAGATGCTCGCAGCGCAATCGCAGCAGAGCTGCAGGATGCCGCAGCCGAGCGCCAGGGGCCAAGCGGCCAAGCGGCCAAGCAGGGCGCAGCCGGCGCCGGCGTTGGTCCTCGGATTTGGCAGATCCTGGCAGCTTTGCTGCAGGTGCTGCCCTGGGAGCTGAGCTTTCCGAGGAGACCTTGGTGTCTTCGTTGCAGTCCGGTGCAGAGCGTCCACATGTCGTCAATAAAGGAGTCTCAGCGCAACCGGCTGCAGGCCAGGTGGTGCCGCACGTAACACTTCGCTAAGGGTCGATCATCGCTTGTGGCTCGTGTTTGGGAACGCATGGCATAGCCTCTGAAATCACGACAAAGATGTCAGTGAAACCCGGGGAAGGTTGTGCGGCTGGTTGCCTGGTTTTGTGCCTGAAGCGCATGCTCTCTGAGGCTGCCATGCTGCACGAAGAAGCAGAAGCCACATCCAGAGTGGAGGATGGGCTGAAACTTCTTCCGCGCTTGCACTTGATCTGTGTGTTCATGGCATGCACAGGCGTATGAGCAGCAGCTGGCATCGATGGTCACAGTCCGTGACTCTCTGCAGGCAGTGCTTCCAGTGAGGGTCAAGCAAGCTTCGTGCGGTGACGCTCTTACGCTGGCAGGCCCAGCTGGAGGCTGCGCTGAGGGTGCAGGCCCACGGCCCGCGTCCAAGGCACGTCTTGTGCGGGGCTCTCGAGCGATCGGGCTGAGACCGAGCTGCGCGAGCACTTGGCTGCCGAAAGAGACGGCCGCGCCGAGCTCGAGGCCCACTGCCACGCGGGCACGCCGCCGCGGTCTCCGGTGTTTGTCACTTGTTCAGGTGGCTGGCGAGCGAGAGATGCTTGCCTGGGAGAAGAACAAGGCGTCTGTCGAACTGTTCCTTCGTCTGGTCCGGTGTCGCCTAGTCGCCTTCAGGAGATGACACACTCACCAGGCAAAGAGTTGCAGAGCCTGGGTCCCCAGCTTGTCTCGTAGCGGCTTAGCGCTGATGATCCAGGCTTGACCTGTCAAGCTTCAGCTCGGAAATACCCCTGCGTTAACTGGTGACACTGGTAAGAGGGACGATCCATACCGCAAGGCTTGGCAATCATTTGCTTAGAATACAACTACGTGCGGTGCTGAAAACTTGCACAGCGGGGCACAGCGGCAGTCTGCAGCAGGTTCAACGCCGCCCTGTCACATGTGAACCTAATTATTGTGCCAGCAGTGCCAGCAATAGAAATGGATTGCTGGCGGAGACTCTGCCTTCAGGTGTCCGGGATGCCCAGACCAAGCTGCAGCAACATCTAAACGCCGAGGCGCCCCCCCCCCCCGCCGGAGTGTGTCTGTCACTGTCAGCTCTCAGGGCAGCACCTGTCGAGATGGCCCACGGGTCTTGGCCCTCGACAGGCCGTGCTCTGTGAGCGCGAGGCTGCAGCTTTGCGAGACCGGATGGAGGAGCTAGAGGAGGACGGGCCGCCGGGCCTTTCAACCCATTTTCAACCCATTCACCAGCTCGGCTCTAAGGAGATGCAGGCGGCCGAGGAGAGCAAACAGCGATGCGTCGTGGCGATGGGTGCTGCAGGGACTGCCCGGCATGAGTTTCGACACGGTTGGAGCACAGCATGCGCCCACGTTTTCACCTTTCACGACATTTTACAAAGCAGCCATCGGCATCTCGTGGTCCCGAAAGGTGTGAATGGACACTTTTGCATGAGGAAGCGGCAGAGGCTCGGATCTGATTGAGACAGCTCGTTGATGTCGTGCCTTCCTGCGCGCCTTCTGGCAGGCTGAGCAGTCCGCAAGTGTCAGGACTGCTGAGCTTGAGAGGATCACGAGGCCAGAGGCTTGTTGTCAAAGGGTTGCTTGAAATTCATGAGGCCTCCCGGCCCTTCTACACGACGGCTGTCCATGGCCGTCCATGCTTCCGCTCTGGAGCGAGTGTGCAGTCTCGTCCATCGTCCCGCCCTAGACAAATTTCTCCGTCCTGGGCCATGCTGGGCCATGCTGCCGAATTGGCCACTGCAAAGCTCACGGAGCAGCCGGCAACTCGAATCGCCCATCGGCATGATGCCAAGTTCAAGCCTGTTGTTCCTCCGCAACTTCCCCAGCTGCTTTAGGTCCAGGGAAGTGTATACACCGACATCGCTGCACGTACCGTTCGCGTGTGCCGCTGCCACCCCTGGCACCGATGTTGTTTCACATCGCAGCCTCTGGAGGTTGGGTCGTGTTGCTTGAAATCAACTTTCTGTCCCCGTCTTGTTCGTGTGGCTGGGAGATTGTTTGCCGGTCTGGGCCGATGGCACATTGCTTGGCCCGATGCTTTGAAGGATGTCTGTTCACATCGCACATTGACATAACATAGATGCTCAATTTTTCGTCAACCATCTCTGATAAGGGTGATTCTTGCATGAGCAGGGCCTCATCGTTTGGAGCTCATGCATTCAATCAGACCCTGTTCGATCGTTGGCAAGATAGACAACACAAAGTACACCTGGAAATGTTCTCTGACAGCGCATAGGTTCAGAGCATTCATTGCGGGCTGTGGTGAAGCGGACATGAAGAAATTGTGTCCAGTCAGTAAGATATCTACAGGCTTTCACAATCCAGATTGTGATGACTAACAGCAGCTTCCCAGCATTGCTTCTCAGCAGGCTGCAGACGCAGAGCTCCGCTACGAGTTCATGACAGTGACATTATTTATCCAGCCTCTCCAGCTATCATAGTTCGATTTTGGTGATATGGGGCCACTGCGACGGGGATGTTTTTCTGTGCAGCTACGGTGTTGATGATGCGCGTTGATGATGCGAAGAGGTGCATGATCGATGATGTTTGGCAAGGAGTCAGTGGTGAGGCTGTTGCATGCAGGCAAGCCAGAGAGATCCAAGCCCAAGTTCATGGCGTCAAGGAGGCCAGAATTAAAGACCCTAGTCACTAGTCATGAAGCAGCAATCGCCCGAGCTTGGTTTTGGGAGTGTGGCTTGGTTTGCAGGATATTCTGCAGTGCCGGCAGGCCGCGCCAGTGGCACTATTGACAGTTCATGTTGCATGCGGTTTCGGAGTGCGCAGGATCACACCGCCCTTGAGCTGAAGCAGGAAAGAGATTTTCTGCATGAGGAGGCACCTGCTTGAGGAGATGACGGTGTAAGTGTTGGTCTACAGCATCTCGTGGCAAACCCAAGGTGCAACAGGAAGCTCTGCGCCAAGAGGATCTATATCTGGAGCTTGACGAAGCTAGGTGGACGTGCCCGACATTGGGATGTTAGAGTATGGTGTGTCTGTGTGAGGCGGTCGCGGAGCCTCTTCCAGTGCCTCTTCCCCCGGAAACCTCCGCCTGCGCAGCCTCCACTGCCGCAACCCTATCGCAGCCGGCACTAGGCAGGAGCCACGCCTCAAGGCGTCTCAGCTGAGGCCTCCGCCCAGTACCGCCACGATGAGGCTTCTTGCCACTGCAGCTGTGGTGCCCTTCATCTTGCATGATGCTGGAAGGACTAAGCCTCAGCCCATAAGAACATCTCCAACGCCGCGCTCTGAGCAATGAGTTTCCTGAACGATGTCTCGCCAGGGGAAGAGCATCCAAGGTTCCAAGGGTCGAACAGCGGCTGACTCCTCGGTGCGCGTTCGTTTGATTAGGATGTACAGTGGGAGTTGCCTCCGCCAGCCAGGAGCCAGGGTGCGGAAACCCCCTGCATATGTCAGCTCTTGCTACTAGTACACTCCGCAGTCAAGTCTACGTGGGAAGCACACATGGCAATACTCGATTGCTTAGGTGGTATGTCATCAGCACCTCGGGTACACAACACGGCGCAAAGATCGCCGCAACGGCAAGGTGCAAGTGAATCTTCCAGTGGCATACCCAGGTTTTGGGCGAACAGATGTGCTTGGCTACAGGATGTTGCCTGACTTCTCCTGCTCTCGCATGAGGTGAGGAGGACGACTCGGAAAGTGAGGATTTGCAGCCTCAGAAACGGACCCAGCGAGCCAGTGTTGAGTCTAGCCGCAAATGATTTGCTGCACAGCAAGGGCAAAGCGGCATCCAGCTGGAGGTCTGGCGGTTAGCAACCTGTCTGTGTGTGTGTGTGTGTGGAGAAGTATGCTGGGCTCTTGGAGCAATAGGATGTGCTGCCAGGTCGTCCCCCGCAAGCCGACACCGAATTCATCGAGAGCGATGAAGTGTAGGACAGTGAAAGTATCGTCGCGAAAGCAGAGTCTGTTTTCAGCGCGCGCCCCGCAGGACAAAGAAGGGGCGCTTCACGGGTCACGGGCTCCAAATGGAGCGTTTTACAGTGTTAATGCATTGCGACCGCTGCGGTCGCTGCTTTGATCTCGCCTCCTGCAACCAAAGCAGGTCAAGTAAGCCGTGAGAAACGAGCTGAGAAAATCCTTCTGATAGTCAGGTTCAGTGCTTTCGCGACTAGAGACTCGAGATGTGTTGTCTGCGCGAGACTTTCGTGGCAACTGGATGTAACCAGACGCAGCTCAGGAGCTTGCTATGTTTTTCGTTTCCAGACTTGTGGCAGCGCGAATCGTCTTCAGCAGATCCGGCGCTACCTCTGGCTCGAGCAGAGAACACCATGAGGTCCTTCAGGGTTTAAGTATCATTGCACTTAGAATCTCCTGCACGTGCAGACAAGACCCAGCCAATAAATTCACATGAGAAGCTCGTGATGCCTTCCCACAGAGCAGTCGCAAGTGAATCTCGTTTCCCCTGCCTGGTTTGCAGCTTTCCAGTCCGTTGCTGATGATGAACGAACTTCATCAAGATCTGCACAATTGGAAGACGTCGTGCTGAGGTCAGAGCATGCTCAAGCTATGCCTGAGGCCAGCTTGTTTTGTTCGTTGCATGGCAAGACCTGCCGGCCGAGACGGGATGTTCGTGCGAGTGCAGGTCCAGAAGGCTGAGCCCCGCAGCTATCTCGAGGATCTGCAACCGTTTCCACATGGGCTGGTGAGAAGTTCGTCCGCTGACGGAATGGATACGTCAAGAACACATATCTATGCTGCCTCAACTTCAGGCGTCTACGTCTGGATATCTGGCAGAAAAAGACATGCCATGACAGGTTTGAGATGCCAGGAAACATGTCTCCTTGTTGCAATGATCTGTGGAAACCGCATGTGGCTTTCTCCAGAATACTGGTAGCAGATCGCCACCATGATCTGCGAGTGGCATCGTAAATTGCTATGTCATTGCCGCACGGCGCCAGCAAACAACAACTGTAAAACGACTGCTCAAGTTGTGCTGGTGCAGCTTGGCAGGAATCAAGCTCCAGCGCTCCTGGGGATGGCGAGGACACTGCGAGTAGATGGACTACTGAGTAGTGCATGTAGACGGTGAAAGTATTGACCATTGCGGAGACAAGTCAGGTAGGCGCAGACCATGGAGCCGAGGCGCGACAGCCGAGCCATTCCCGCCATCGGACCCTAAGATGACATGCTGGCTCCCTTACGGCATGCAAACCCTTGAGGCAACCATTCTGCTAGCCTTGTTTGGTCGGATGGGGGGACGGGCAGTGAGGGTGTTTTGGGGTTTGGGTGTGCGGAGGCGATGTGTCCCTTCGGGGTGGTTATGGATGTTTTGACGTCGTTGTTGTTGTCAATGCCTGTCTTGCAGGGGGTCGGGAGGGGAGGGGCAGGGGGGGGTGGGTTGGGGGAGGGAGGGGGGGGGTTGGGGGGAACAGCTCAGCAACTGCTGCGCATGCTGCGCGTTGATGAACACTGTGAATTTTCGTTTTTTGGTCGACAGACCAGAAAATGCAGTTACACATGCTTCGTTGCACGTTGCTGTTCCGCCTATGTTCCCTGCTATTTTGCTATGGATCGCACAGCTCGTGCAACTATCTGACTTGCACACCCTGAGCATGTCTGCTTGTTCATTTTGCCTCTGAATGCTGTCCTGCTCGGTTCTTCTGATTGTGGGCGCGCACGCGGCCGCAATTTGAAATCAGACGCTCAGACACTCAGCCGCTCAGACACTCAGACGCTCAGACGCTCAGACGCTCAGACGCTCAGACACTCAGACTCACAGACTCACAGACTCACAGACGCAGGCTCTCAGGCCGAAGTTCATAGGAATTTGGAGTTCTGATTTACAAATCATGGGCGCCCCATCAGTCCCAGGCCCCAACCTCTCACCGAAATTCATAGGAGCTCTGATCAAAAAACACAAAAAACATTGGCGCCCCATCTTTCCCAGGTTCTAACCTTAGAACCAACAAAAGTTTTTGCTCCCCATCAGTCCCAGGCCCCAACCCTTCAGTCCAAGGCTCAAGGTTCATATATAGGAGTCTTGATTAAGAAACTATTGGCGTCAGAAGACAGCACCTATGGCCAAAACTGGATGACGTCCATGGTCTGCAGCGTTTGAGAAGAGAGAATCCCTGGCGAAATGACGTCCATGGACTAGTGCGTTTCAGAAGCGAGCATCCATGTGAAAAACCTGATGACGTCCTGCTAGGGCTCCACCGGATTTCTCGCATCTCAACTTTCAAAACACTTCCCTTCTAAGCTTATAGCCCTGAAACCTCAAACCGCAACAATCTGAAATCTGCAAGTCCGAAAATCTTGAACTCCAAACCCGAAAGGCCTGAAACCCTAAAGCCCGGTTGATGGAACTCCCGGTATCCGGCCTGTCTCTGCGAAATCTCAAGGTCGAAGCGCGAGCTATGAGAAGAGTAGGGGGGGATGTGTAGGATTTCGGGGTTTTGAGTGTGTTTCTATCAGTCTTGCGAGCTACTTGATATCAATTTTTTTCCCCAACGCAAACGTGCGACCTATCTAACATACAGCCACATGGCCCCTCCGAAAGTCGGCCACTCGAAGTCAGACATTCAGACGCTCAGACTCGCAGACGCTCAGACTCGCAGACGCTCAGACTCGCAGACGCTCAGACACTCAGACGCGCAGACACTCAGACGCGCAGACACTCAGACAGTCAGACACTCAGACAGTCAGACAGTCAGAGACTCAGACGCTCAGACACTCAGACACTCAGACATTCGGACGCTCAGACGCTCAGCTGAGTGGCTGAGTGACTGAAGCACGCTTCCACGGCTGCGGGGCTGAGTGGCTGAGTGACTGGGGCTGGCCTGCACGGCTGAGTGGCTGAGACGCTGGTTTCAAACACGGGCCTGTGTGCACGCTCTCTATCTTCTGAAGGTGACCGGAAGAATCAGATGAATGAAGAACACTCTAACTCTAACTCTAAGTGTTCATGAGTACGGCGCTGGATCACCCTATATACTCCCACTCAAACATCAACCTTGCCTCCTGGCAAAATTTGCTCGCAGGCTCACGAAGATGCGGATGCTCCCGAGGCCAAGCCGCCAGGCCACTGGCCGGTTTCATAGCTCCAAAAGCGAGCCGCAGGGGACCGTTGGCAGGTAAGCGGGCTTTTGTAAAGAAGAAGCCCGCGACCGAGTCGTGGAGTGCATCCTTTCGCGGTCTTTCGGGCTTGCACTCAGGGCAAAGCGCAGTGCCAAGCCGAAGGCGCGGCTAAGGGTCGCAGACGGAGGAGGGCCGCCGCCCGAAAAGTCTTCACAGCAGGATGGGCTGCTCGGCGGAGAGCTCGGCGGGGAGCTCCAGACCGAGGCCGGCACCGATGATCGCGCGAGCGAAGCGAAGCGCGAAGCGAAGCCACACAGTGCCACACAGAGGAGAAGCCGAGACGACGTGGGCCGCCTCGACACGGCTTGGGGTTTTCGACAGGGATCAGTCATGTCACTGCTTCCGGAGCTTTTTTCCACTCTGCTGACACAGTCCAGCCAGAGGCATCTTCTTTGCACGGAGAGAGCTAATGCCGGAAGGGAGGGGTGAATGGGAAACTTGCGGTTGCCTTCTCAGAGCTGCACCATCGTAGCCTTCTGATCGTGCTAACACGCGGCCTGGCTCCGGTTCTTTCGGTTGGTGGTAGGAACGCGCAACTGCTGTGTGAAAGCTGAGGCCACGGCTCCCAGTGTTAGGTGCAAGAGCGTGATCACTGGGGTCGAATTGGCCATGTGTATTGGGCAGGGCCTGCAAGAACCAGTGGATCCCCCCACGAGTTCCTCGAGATAGATCATTCGACCGCTGAAGGCTGAAGACCCAAACGTTTGAAGAGGACTCGTTCTGGGGAATCACAATGCTCCGTGCTATGCTAACTTGTGGAACAGGCATAGGCAGCTTGTCTCGAACGCCGCAATTCGCGATACTAGACCGGCATGTTCTTAGGCAGAGGACTGGCTAAGGAGTCCGGAAAAGCTTAAAAAGTCGAAGTTTTGCTTGAAGTCCCACAGCCTCAACATTCACTTTTTCTCTTGACCCGCATCGGGTCTTTGCTGGTTGCGCGACGCCATACAGCCTGGCTAGGACGTTTGGGCGCACTTTCCACTCCGGAGCGGATGGATCCCCGCTTGATACCCCCAGCGGATCGCCTCCGACCTGACGAGCACGTCGCTTTACACCCCCTCAACCGGAAACTCAGATCTCCCGATGCCCAAACGTCCTTAAAGGCTACATCCCTTATGCCTTAACCCCTGAAGCCTTAAAACCCTAAAGCCCTAAACCCCCGACCCTGAAACCCTAAGCCCTATTTACACCACAAATCTCAAACCTGTAGGGTCTTCGTTGTGGGCCTGACAACCGCCACCGCGGACCCGAAGCGGCCAGAGCTTCCACCCTCAAGATTTCATTGGACAGCTAGAACAAAGCAGTGAAGCGTGCCATCGATCAGTTAGTGTTGACTAATCGAAACATGTCGGGAAGCACGGAATGTGCTAAGTGGCATGGTGAGTGCAGAATAGATTCCGCAACTGGAGCAGAACAGAGCCCAGGGTTCCCGTGACAGCCCGCATGCCCTCGTAACAGGAACTGGGGGGAGGAGGGTTCCAACACTTACTATCACATCCCGCGTCTCGTCTTGGCTCCCCAACTCAGGGACCGCTTTCCGGCCCCCAGCTTACAGGGATTCAGACCTACGATTCCAGAAAGCCTTTTCGACATTATTCAGCTCTAGCCATCAAAATTCACGACGAGGGTTGCTTTGGACATAATATGGACTTTAGCTATAGCTGTAAGCCTTCAATCCTGAACCATTCTTCGACATGTTAAAACCCTCTGTATCGCCACTGCCATCCTATATCCCAAACCGTGAATCCTATTGAGCCCATGTACTCTATATGCCCCGAATAGAGACACATAGGAAGTGAGCATAAGGCTTTAACTTTAATGGTTACAAAGGACCAAAAACTGGTACCCAACTGCTTGGCTTTCCAGGGATAGTTTTTGTTACGCTCGGCGCACGGTTCCTGTTTCTATTAGGGCCCGTTCCCGTTACGGTGTGCAGAACCTGTTTCCGTTACTCCCCAAAGTGGTTCCCCGCACCCGGTGCAGCAAAATGCGGGTTTCAGGCGGAGGGCTGTGGGGAAACAGGCACTTCCGGAGGCTCGAAAGCCAACCTTCCTGACAAAAACGAGCTGAGAAGTGAGGCAAATGAATGCAGCATGGCTTTGATCAATCATTAAGTGTGGCTAGTGGAAATACGCTGCTGCATCAGCTGCTGCTGCTGGCAAGGGCGGTGATGCTAAGGCTGCTAAGGACGCTGCACGTACGGTTCTCGACGGCGCTGCTGCTGCTGCTGCTGCTGCTGCTGCTGCTGCTGCTGGGCATGTGATGATGATGCTGTTGTGTAGCACACGTGTGTGCGCATGGACATGAGCGATTCGTCGTGCCGGCAGCTGTCCCGGCTCGACATCGCTTTTTCGGCGATCAGACGCTCTGTAGCATCTCCACCCGGCCTTGCCATGTCCTTCTCGGCGGTGGATCTCGAGGCGGCCTTTGCGGTGATCCTTGCGGCGTTGGAGGAAGGGGAGGACTTGGCTCCCTTCCTCCAACAGTTTCCCGCAGGCGCCAGGCGTGCCTTGATTTTGATGCTGCAGGCGTCGCTCCCGGCGAGCCGGACAGCAGGAGGTGGAAACCCGGCACCGCCTAAGGCGGCTGCGCCGGCAGTTGGTCCCGGCGTTGGTGGAGCATCTGGGTCTAACGATGGAGCTCCCGGCGGCACTGGTGCCTCTGGCTCGCACGACATGGCGGCGTCTGCTGCGGCGGGGCAGGCCATCCCGGAGCCCAACCCGGAGCCCCCTGCTGCTTCGCAGGCGCCCGGCTACCCGGCACCCTGGCCGGTGCCACCGATGCAGAAGCGGCCTCCACCGGTGCCGGCGGGAAGCGGCGATGGTCAGCAGCCGTCCCCGGCGACGGCGGCCCCGGCTAAGCCAAAGCCGAAGGGCCCGCCTGTCGCCCTTTGGGCCTCCGAGGGCTTCAACTCGGAGGCGGATGCCCGGCAGGCCAGGGAGCTGAACTTTGTCACCGCGGCGGAGTTCTACGCGGCCTGGGCGGCGGCATCGGCGAAGCAGTCATCTTTCCCGCCGGCGAAGCCGGCGCCGGTGGCCAAGACGCCGGCCCCCAATTCAGCGGAGATGACGGCGCTGCAGAACCAGATTGCAGCAGAGATCGCGGCGGGGACCCCGGCACAGCCGGCTCCTGCCGGCACTGCGGCCCAGGCGCCCGTCCCTCCCGGCTTCGTCCGCATGGAGATCCGCGGCGTCATCTACACGGTCAACCGGACCACGGGGGAGGGCTTCCCGGAGTTGCCGCGGCGTCCCGGCCGGGGGGCGTCGGAAGCGGAGCGCCGCCACAACGATGAGCTCTTTCGGCGGCTGGTTGACATTCGCTTCCGGCTCTGCTCCGTCGAGTGGCAGAACCACATTCGGCGGATCAACCAGGACGGCGCCTCCTCGGACGTCCCGGTCCCGGCGGCGATGTTGGCCTCCATCGTCGACTCGGTGGAGGCCCTCGAGGAGCTCGAAGATCGGGCGCGGCTTGGCGGCGGTGCGGCCACGGCCGTGGTGCCCACGTCTCCCGGCGCAGCGGATTACATTGTCCGCTCGCTGGTTCCAAACCATCGCGGCGGTCGCATCCCCGAGCGGCTGGCCGGCGAGGTCTGGTGTGTGGGCTGGTGTGGCCGGCCATGTCCCGGCTTTGAGGGCGTCTGCCAAAGCCCCGGCGGCAGATGCCTCCGCCCGATCCTCATTCGGCGTGGCGGCACAGTGGACCTGGAGGCGCACATCAATCACCTGTGCGATGCGTGCCGGCGCTACCGGAACACGCGTGACGGCCGGTTCTAGTGCCACCCGCCGGCGGGCTATGTTGACCTCGGCGAGCCCTACCTCTTCCTGGCGATCGCCCGCATGGTAGGTCTCCTGGCGTAGCCCTCAGCCGGTTTCTTCTTTTTGGGTCCCGGCGGTGCCGCGACGCCTTCGCGGGCCTCTCCGGCAGCCGCTGGCCCACGATGCTTTAATTCGTTCTGCAGTTGCTTCCCGGCGTGCCGTAAGTGCAGGTCGGGAGGCCCAAGAGCCTCGGATCATAGCCTGGCGCGAAAAGTCGGCCCGGCGGTGTGTGCCTGGTGTGCAGTCGGCGCAAGTGGCAGTGCTGTCTCCTACCCGGCCCGCCCCCTCCGACCCTAATCGTCGTGGCGCGTTCGTTGAGGTCGTAGCGGCTCAAGCTCCCCCCCGGCTCAAGGATGTCGGCGGTTGATCTCTCGGCCGGCGGCGGGTTCGCCCAGGTGGCGCGGGCCTTCGTCGACATCCAGGCTCAAGAGTTCCTGCCGGCGGTGGGGGTGCACGACCTCCGAGGCGCCTTGGACAACACCGGCGCACTGCTCCTGGCCGGGGGCGTGGCGCCCGGCCCCGGAGAGCTCAAGTCGAGCCCCGGCGCCCAGCCCGGCGGAGAGCAGGTTGGCCCTCCCGCCAGGCGAGCAAGGCATTCAACCGGCCGGCCCAGGCGCAGCCGGTCAGGGCTGACATCCCGGTGAGGCGCGACGGCCTGCAAGAGGACGGCCCTTCAGGCAGCCTTGCCAGAGCTCCAGGCGGAGCTGGCGGACCTCGACGGCGCCATCATGGCGCGCTCCTCGGAAGGACCCTTCCGGTCCAGGGTCCGGACCTGGGTGGACTTCACGGCGGCCTGGGCCCTGCCGGCGTGGCCGATCTCCCTGGACTCCGTCAGGAAGGTCGCGGCGAGCATGCGGAAGGGCAGGTACCGCTCGGCGCAAAACTACTTCGACGCGGCGGTGACCTACCAGGAACACTTCCGCGGCGAGCTGGTGGACCCGCTAGTCCGGCGGGCCATCCGGCGTTACGCCAAGGCGGTGGTACGTGGCCTTGCGGGGTCCAAGCTCAAGGCGATCTTCCCGGCCATGCGGCTGGAGCCTCTGCTGGATCCCTCGCCGGCGTCCGCCGCGGAGCCTTGGGCCCCATGGAAGGCGGCGCACTCGGCGGACGCCCTCCTCCTGGCGGTGTGGTTCATGCTGCGTGAAATCGAATTCGCGGCGGCCCGCACCGAGGACATGGAAGCCGGCGAGGACTGGGTCCTTCTTCGGATCCCCCTGCACAAGACGGCACAGGGTGGCGAGAGAGAGCTAACGGCGCGCATCCAGTCCCGGCCGATGTGCCCGGCACACGCTGCGCTGCGCCACGTGTCCCGGCTGAAAGCGGCCGGCCTCTGGGTCCGAGGCGGGCCCTTGTTCCCGGACGCGGCGGGCAACACCTGGGCCAAAGGCGAGACCGTCCTGCTCTTCCGGCGGGTGTTGCTGGCCGCCGGCGTGGCCCTCACCACGGTCGACCACAAGGGCCAGATCGTGCAGCTGTTCGCCGGCCACTTGGCGAGGGTCGCCGGCGCGGCCTGGCTAGCGTCCAAGGGAGTGCCGACGGCGATCATCCAGTTGCTGGGCCGCTGGTCCTCCACGGCGGTGGAGCGCTATGTTCAGGCGGCCCCGCTCGCGGTGGCCCCGGAGATCCCCGGCCGAGTCTTGGCTGGGAGCTACGGTGGCACGCAGGCCACCGATGAGGCTCGGCGAGCCACGGCAGGAGGAGTGGCGCCCAGCCCTCAGGCCCCTGACCCCCCGGCGCAGATGGAATCGCCGGGGGCGCCGGATGACCAGGCAGAGTTCTCCCGGGCGGTCCTGCTGGTGGACGCCCCGCCTAGGGGGCCGGCACCCGGTGGGGTCGGACACCCGCCGGCGCGGGAGGACCTCATCTACAACGAGAAGGGGGCTAAGGTGCACCGGCCTGACCCGGCGGAAGCTACCACGGAGCAGTTCCTCTGGAGGTCCAGGTGCGGCGCGTGGCCGTATGGCATCCGGCGCTTCTTCAGAGTGTCCGAGAAGCCGGCGTCCGCCGCTTGGTGCGCCCGCTGTTTCCCGGCGCCGGCTCCGGGGGAAGGTGAAGGTTCACCGACCGAGCCGGTGGACTCGCCGGTGGCGTCCAGCTCGGCGTCCGAGTCGGACAGCTCGTCCTCGTGATAAAACAGACGGCGAGGGCGGTCCTTAGTGAGCGGCTGTGGTGTGCCTCCCTTGCTGGCGGTTGAGTGCTAGATCGCGGCGGTAGCTCTCTGGCTCTCTGCTGTCGCCCGCCCTCGGCGTGCTCCCGCTTAGGTCTTCCTTCCTCGGCTGCTGCGGCTATCATGGCGGCTCCGGGCTTTCCTCCGGCTCCTGCGGCTCCCGCGGCGCCCCCGGCCGCGCCCGCGCTGGCGGTGACCATCATGACGCCGTTCGCGGATCTGGCGGCGGCGGCGGGGGCCGGCCCTCAGCTCACGGCCTACCTGGCGGCCCGCAACCTGAACCGCACGGCGACGCTGGCCCTCATCGCGCACTCCTGGCCGGAGTTCGAGGACCGCGTCGTCCGGCCTTTCCTGGACGGGGTGGACATCGCCGGCACTGTGCACCAGGCGCCGGAGGCGGAGCAGGCGGTCGTCGAAGCCATCCTGCACCACATGTGGGCCGAGGCGCACAAGCAGTGGGCCACCCACATCGCGGTCCCGGCACCGGCGGCTGCGCCAGCCCCGGCCGCGGCGGCCCCTGGAACGGTGGTGCCGGCCCTTCCCGGCGACAAGCCACCGAAGACATTCCCGGAGTGGGGGCCGCTGGTCAAGCGGTACAACGAGGTGACGGTCGCCGGCGAGCCCCGGGATTTCCCCACGACCCTCCTCCTCGGCGCGGAGGAGGTGCTGGCGCGCATGTACTTCGAGCACACGAAGTCGAAGGAGTACACGGCGGTCGGCTTGGGTGAGATCTTGCAGCGGCGCAGCTTCACGGCGGCCATGGAGGTGAATCCGCTGGCGATCCGGCGCCACAAGGAGAGGGGCCAGGCGATCCGGCTGGTGGACGGCGCACTGGTCCATGACCGGGAGGACCCCACCCCGAGGGGGGTCCTCGGCGTCATCGACGGCATCGAGGCGGCACCGGCGTGGCCACGGAGAAGGGGGCGGCGGAGTACGCCCAGTGGTGGACGTCGAAGGCCCGGCAGCGCCCGTCCCAGCTCGAGGCGATCACGGAGTACTGGGACGCATCCTCCCGGCGCTTGGCCATGCAGATGCGCCTTCGCCGGACGTTCGAGGAGGTCACGGCGGAGATCATGAAGGACCAGGCGGCGTTCCTGGATGTCCTCTCCCGCGGCCCCCGGCGAGGAACAAGGTCAGCGAGGGCTTCAACCCGCCGGACCCGGAGACGGACGGCCCGCCAGGCGCCGCGGCGCACCAGGGATACCAGCCCGGGCCCGCGCCACAGAAGGTGAAGAAGAACAGGCGGCGCCGCAACAACCCCCGCCAGGCGCAACAGCAGCACCAGCACCGCGGCGACGAGGGTGGCTCGGACAGCCGCGGTGGCGGCGGCGGTGGCTGGCGGCAGAACTGGCGCCCTCGCGGCGACTCCAACCAGCAGACTGGCCGCCAGGACTGGCATGACGATCGGCGGTGGGCCAATGCCGACCGGGCCCAGTCGTGGCAGGACCGCGGCGGGAAGAGAGACTCCCAGGCGCAGGACGGCGACCGCCCGCAGAAGCACAGGCGCTAGGGACAGCACGGGGCCCCGCCCGGCGCTTCGGCCTCGGGTGGGGTACCCGACCGGAGCCCGGCGGCTCAGGCGGTGGTGCTGAAGCCGGCCAGGCCGGCGCGCCGGGATGGCAAGTACATCCTGCTCTCCCTCTTTGACGGCGTCGGGGCGGCGCCGGCCATCCTCGAGGACCTCTTCGGCACACCGTGGGCGGCCATGGCGTGGGAGACAGACAAGACTTGCCGGCGATTGACATCCACCCGGCTGCCCTGGCTCCGGCAGAGGGGTGATTTCACCGCGGACTCGGTGGAGAAGGTGGCGGCGGAAGTCAAGCGCCTTGACCCGGCCGGCGAGTGTGTGATCCTCCTCGTCGCGGCGCCCCCTTGCCAAGATTTCTCCCAGATCGGCGCGGAGGCGGGCCACAGTGGCGCCCGCGGCAGCCTGTTCTTGCGCTCGGCGGAGTTCGTCCTGGAGCTGAGGGCGGCGCTCCGCGGCTGGCGGGTCGGCTTCATGTTCGAGAATGTGGTCATGCAGCCGGCGTCGGCCAAGGAGGTATCCGACTGCCTTGGGGTGGAACCGGCGCTGGTGTGCGCCTCCGATTTCGGGTGGATCTCGAGGCCGAGGCTCTGGTGGCTCTCGGCGGACCTCCGGCAGCACACGGAGGACCCGGCCACCGGCGCCCCCCTGGTCTGGACCAAGAAGGGGCCGTTCCACCGTCTCCGGCTGGAGGAAGCCAGGGCGGCGGCTAGCACTCTGCTACCGGTGGGCATGGCCTTTCACCCGGCGGTGGCGTCGAGCAGGCTGCTCCTGCCATGCGCCGCCACGCCGGCGGAGGACGAGAACGGCCGCCCGGCGCCGAAGAGAGCTCGGGGCAAGATCCCGGAGCCGGCGAGAGCCAGGTGGCTGGCGGACTCCCGGCAGTTCGCCCCCTGGCATTACACAGAGGAGGCGATGATCCACGACGAGGCCGGCCGGCTCCACAACATCCCCGTCGGCGTTAAGGAGGCTCTCCACCACATACCGGGGGCGGCATAGGATGGTGGCCAACTCATGGCCTTTACAGTGGCACAGCCGGCGGAGGCGTCGGTGCCGGTCGCACCGAGGACCACCACGGTGGCGTGGATGGCCTCACAGTTCGGCGCAGGCCCCCTGGACATGAGCCCCCCGCCTCGCCTGGCGTCGCGGCTCGACTTGCCGGAGGACGACCCCGACGAGCACTGGCGGCTGGCACTTCAACTGAGCCACTGCACGGTCACTCGGCGGCCAGACCTGGAGCCGGCGGTGGAACGCGTCTTGGGGCTCGCGGCTGCCTGGCGCCACGACGTGGTCAGGATCCGCGGCGAGGTGCTGCAGGAGATCAGAGACATGGTGGCGGACCGCGTGGAGGAGACGGCGGCCTGGCTGGCCCAGCGCCCGGCTCCGGTGCGCAGCACCTACTCCACGGCGGACAAGGACCGGCCTACGCAGATCCCGGTCCTCTTGGAACTCCTCGGCGTGGTGGGCTACCCCGACATCGAAGGCCTCACGGCGGACCTCACCCAGGGCTTCGACATGCTCGGCGAGGTGCGGCGTGGCCCCGGCTGGAAGGAGCGGACGGACGGCCGTTACCAGAACCCGGTGTCCCTGGACCAGCTGGCGGCGACCAACTGGGAATACGTCCGGAGGCGAGCATCGGCGGCGCAGCCCGGCAAGCACTGGGAGACCCTCCTCACGGAACTTGTGGCGGAGGCCCGGCTTGGCAGGGTGGTTGGTCCGGCGGCCCCGCCGGCTGGATGGAACATTGTCACCGTGCCGGTGCTGAACACGCCCGGCGCCGACCGGCTGGTGCCGCCGCCCCCCGGCCGCCACTTTGCCGCGGCGTCCTTCGCCATCGTGCAGGAGGACGGCGAGGGGAACACGAAAGTGCGTCGAGGGGAGGACTGGCGGCGCTCGGGCCACAACTCCACGGTCCTGGCGCGGGACGTCCCCACCCACCATTTCGTGGACGACGTGGTGGACTTCATCCGGCGCGTGGTGGAACTGGCAGGGAATCGTGGGGTCCCGGCGGCCAGGCTGTTCGGGCACGACCTGCTCAATGCCTACCGGCAGTGGGCAGTCCGGCACCCGGCCCACTCCGGCACTTTCCTGGCGACACCGGCTGGGCTGACACTCTGGTTTCACCTGGCCATGTGTTTTGGAGCCGCGGCGTCGGTTTGGAATTTTAACAGGGCCGCGGACGCGATGCAGGCGCTGACCCGCGTCCTGCTGTGGCTGGTCGGCGGCCACTTCGTGGACGACTTTAACGGCGTCGACCTCCCGGAGCTCGCGGAGTCGGCCTTCCACTCCCTGGCGGACCTCTTCCTGGAGCTCGGCCTGCAGACCAAGCCGTCGAAGGCCCAGGAGCCGGCGGCCCGGCACGTGGTCCAAGGAGTGGAAATGACGATCGAGGCGGACGGCGTGTCCCTGCGACCCACCCCCTCTAGGGTGGCCAAGCTCCTCCGGGCCATCGAGGCGGCGCTGGAGACGAATGCCCTTCAGCCGCACGCGGCGCAGAAGCTGGCGGGCAAGCTGAGCTTCGCGTCCCAGTCCACCTTCGGCTGTCTCGGCAAGGCGGCGTTGAAGCCGCTTTACGCCAGAGCCCACGACGCGGCGGCAGAGTCATCCCCAGAGCTGTCGTTGGGGTTGGCGGCGGCCCTCCGAGCGCTCCGGCAGCTACTCAAGAACATCCGGCCCCGGTTTGTGCCGTTCGTCGACGACGGCGCCCCGCAGGCCCTGGTGTACGCGGACGCGTTCTTCCAGCCAGGCGAGGTCAAGCACAAGGCGGGCTTCTTGCCGGCGGACCTGCCCACACCAAAGGGGGCACGCGGCAAGAACGGCTGGGGATATGTGGTCAGAGTCGGCGGCGAGACCTACTATGACTACGGCCAGGCGCCGTCCTCCTTCCTGGTGGCGTTCGGCTCCAGGCGGGCCTTCATCTACGTGCTCGAGATCGTCGCCCAGGTCCTGGCGTTGACAACGCTGGCGCGGCGGTTACCGGAACGCTGGCTGGCGTTCATTGACAACGTCGCCGGCCAGTCCATGGGCCCTCACCAAGGGCTACGGGAGGGACCCCGCGGTCAACGGCGTCCTGGCGGCGTTCTGGTCCCAAGCAGCGGACATGGACTGGCTGCCTGACTTCCGGCGGGTACCTTCGAAGGCCAATGTGGCGGATGCGGTGTCCCGCGGCGACCTGGCTACGGCAGAGGCGATGGGCTGGACCAGAGTACGCACACCGGCGGCCAGAATCTGCGCCATCCTGGCCAAGACTGCTGGCGACCTCGAGTTCGCCATCCACGGAGCATCGGCGGAGCTGAGAGCTTGCGCTATTTGAGTTTTTCCGGTAGTTCGGCTGTGCCGGCGCTGTGTGGGGGTGGGGAGCGCCGGGCGGGTAGCTCAAAGCTTCCCCGGCGCCGGCCAGCCTAGTTTTGGGCGGAGGCGACGGACCCGGCGCGATG